CTCCTCTTTCATGAAACCATGCAGTATCATTGGAATACTAGAATTGGAAGAAGAGTGGTATTTTTGCAATGAAAAGTGGTTGTTTGGTATAGGAGTTAACGGAACCAGTGATGTAATTGTGATGCAAATGTTTAGTTTGATGACGACATTGTAATCATAATTTACTCTTTCATGAAACCATGCAATATCACTGAGGTACTACGGATCTTTAAACATAGGATCATTTTGTGGCCTTGTTGGAGCACTATGCAGCCGGCTCCAAATTCTGTACTCTTTGAAATGCTATAAGTATTGTTGCTCTGCAGTTTACCTCGTTCTGTACCTGCATTATCCTTGAACACCTGGATGGTGGATTCACATGATATGGTTTTCACGTTGCAGGCTCTTTCTAAAAGAATTCATTATGGGAAATTTGTAGCCGAGTCCAAATTTCGAGCAAACCCAAGTGAATATAAAACTGCTATTGAAGCGCAAGTAGGTCCTTAACCGTGGTGTTTTGTTCCCTGATACTTTTTTCTCTGAATACTTACTATGTTGGCCTTTGGATGGATTTCTGAAACTTTGCAGGACAGGGAAGGATTGATGGCTTTGTTGACATACCCAGAAGTGGAGGAGAGAGTAAAAGAGAGAGTCGAGATGAAAGCCAGGACCTTTGCTCTAGAAGTGACAATGAAAGAAGGCAAAGTTGAATCTGAAACAGTATACAAGATTGAGCCACACTTGGTTGCTGATCTCTATGGGAGATGGATCATGCCACTCACAAAGAAAGTCCAAGTTGAGTACTTATTGAGAAGGTTGGATTAGGATGTGGAACCGAGTTCGTTTCTGAATGTTTTGTACGGTAGGAGAGATTTGATAGAATTCCAATGTAAAGATTGAACGAGCAGGAATTACTGGATCTGGAAATTGGGAACAAACCCTATATACTATGAAAATGCAGATATTGGTTTTCATAAATGATATTCAATAGACGAGATTCTTCTTTCCTCTTTACTCCTTTGATTTTCGATTGATCAGTATGTGTGAGGATGCAATGAAGTTTATTTCATGAATGGTATTCGATAGATGAGACTCTTTCTTTCCCCTTTTTGTCATTTGAGATATTGATTGGGATCAATATGCCTTGTATCAGTTGGATGCGCGAGGATGAACCAAAAACTAGCAGTAGTCAACTCTGCATCCGACATTTGAAAGTGGAATGAATGATGATTGACTTTCTCAGTTTTGAACCCGACAGAAGGTCTTATAAGTTTTACAGCACAGAGTAGGGAGGGGAAGAAGGGGATACGCCCCATGATTGGAGCCGCGTTTACCGTGACAAATCGATGGTGCTGGTGCCTGGTAGAGAGGAGGAAAAATGCTGATCTGGTCACTGAACTCGTAAGCAAGTATCACATAAGGAGCTTAAGTTTTGTTGGTGGTGGTGAACTCCTAAAACATCACATTATCTCGAATGAATCATCGTTAGTCAACATTTTGTAACCTTATCTTAATACGGTAAGAAAAAACTTGATTCCTCATATGATATTTTAAACCGGGAAGTGATAAACAACTGCATTTTTCCGATTCAATGATATGTTCTTAGAAAGTTTAGATATAAAAGTGTGCATTTTTATCACTTTTTCTTTTTGATTGTTAAAGAGAAAATCTAAAAAAAAAAAGAAGAAGAATATACTAGATGATTATGATGTTCCATGATATAAAGGTAGATCCTAAGATTATTTATTAGTAGTTACCGATTATTTGTCAATCCGGGAAATGTAAGAGAAGGTGATTGCGAATTTTCTCTTGTACAAGATGCATTATCTTTCTAAAACAGTAATTACGCTTCTCATAAATTCGTAGTAATTATCATATCAACCAAGAAACAATGAGTCATTTGAAGTAAAGATTGTTAGATTGATCGAGTGAGTACTTTCTTTGCTTCAAAAATCAACTCACCTATGATGATGGAACACATATCATTAGTTCGGTGACCAAATTGATATTTTACACCGAAATTACTTAACCACCGTCGTCGTCTCTGTCATGACAGGCCTGCTTTGACTAGGTTTGTCATTTCTGTTTAACTTAACGGCAAAAGACAACGTTCATAATAATCCTTTTGCTTCCTTTTACGGCGTTGTAGATCCAGACAGACCAGAGGACAGAGTGGACAAACTCTCTCCTTTCTCGGCTTTTCCTTTCTCCTTTTTTAAGCAGCAGTTACAACCGCGTCTCCCGATATTTCTGGTGTCTACTCAAATCCTTTGTCCTCTGCCCAGATAAGAGCGTTCCCAAGTCAGACAGTAGCGAGAGGAAGGCAAGAACAGCAATGGAGAAGAGGCTGCTGACATTGGCGGCGGTGCTATTCGCCATGGTCGCGGTGGTGCCGGAAGTTTCTGCTACGAGATGGACTGTTGGATCCAAAATGGGGTGGACTACTAATGTCAACTACACTATCTGGGCTCAGAATATCACGTTCTACAATGGCGACTGGCTCTGTAAGTCCCTCTCTTTCTAAACCTTCTCCTTCTGGTTCTAATTTCTTATTCTCGTTAATTGACCTTCAGATCGTAAAGCCAGTCCAAAGACTCTGCTGCATACTTTCTGCTAAAAGATTGTTGCCCATTTCGGGAATTCGCATTTACAGATCTGAGAGTGTTGAATTGGAACATAAAGTTGAGGGCTTTTTCAGTATTCATGGCATTTCCATTTCAAATCATTTCAAATTAAGAACTTTTTTTCACTTCCTTGGCCAAATTTCAGATCTGCAACTCCCCCATAAACAGCAATGTCTTGGTACCCGTTTGGGAGCCTGAGACATAGCTGCCCGGTCTCGTAAATACTCTGACGAATCCATAGGATCAAAGTAATTCGGATTTTTACCCTTAGCTGTTGCCATCAGAGGGTTTTCTTGTGGGTTGTTTTGCTACTATTTCTAACTAATTCTTCCCTTGTGCACCATGAATCGTGGACAAAAAACACGTCTTTCCTATTCCTTGGTCTTTCAATTGGAAAATTGAGTCTTCAATTAAGACTCTTTTGTGCTTGGTTTTGCAGTTTTCGTGTACGACAGGAACCAGATGAACGTGCTGGAGGTGAACAAGACTGACTATGAGAGCTGCAATGCCGACCACCCACTCAAGAACTGGACCAGAGGTGCTGGAAGAGATGTGGTTCCACTCAATGTGACTCGACACTTCTACTTCATCAGCGGGAAAGGGTTCTGCTATGGAGGCATGAAGCTTGCCGTTCGTGTCGAGAACATGCCTCCTCCACCAAAGGCTTCACCCGTCAAGAGTGGTGCTCCTTCCTCCATTCTCAACCGGCCCTATGTCCTGCCTGCAGTTTTCGCCATTGGAGCAATGTGGGATGCTTTTGTCCACTTCTGGTAGTGAAGTAAATTTATTCTTCTTTCTTAGCAGTACCTACATTGAGGATGTAACAACACAACCACCACCACCATCACTGATGAAATGGCATTGGTGGTGAAATTTGAGCACTTCCTCTGCATTATTTAATTTGTTTACTTCAACCTTCTTTTTGTTACTTATCTGGGTGATGCTGTGTCTAGTGTTTATTTATGGTGTACACTGACTTGAAAGGCAGGATCTGTTTTGTTGATGTTCTAGTTGAGCTCTCTGCTCTGCTGTGTGTTTTGTATGAGAGTTGTGGATTAATTGACTTCACCCTGCTAATGATCTGGTGTTTGTGAACTATTGTTGGTTTGTCACTTGAATACAGGGCAACTCTGGTTTGGCCATTTAGGTATCAACATTGATTTGCCGTTGTAGTAGGGTTCTTGTTGATTATGGTGATGTGTCTGAAATTTGCTTGCAATGGAGGTTCATGAATGATCATGGGTGTGACTATAGAGAAGGGATCAGAGTTGTTTTAGCTGAATCTGTGTCCCATTCAAAGCTGCTGATACTATGTTCTTTTCTTCGACATCAAGCCTTTGACCTAGTATCAAAGAGCGATCCTTAACATGCAAAATTGCTGTCAAAACGATGAAAGACTCAGAATTTCGTTTAACCACGACTTTAAGGCACCCGACACTCTTTCAAATTTGGTCAAGCTAGTTCACATTCTTTACAAAACAAGACTCACCAACATCAAAAGTCTCCTCAAGCTAACATTTTTGCTTTTCATACCAATAAAGGAATGTTTGGTTGGCAATTACAGCACAAAATCTGGAACATGGGTAGTCGCTATCAGACCAAATACAGTACACCAATATTGCCAACTGGAAGATTCTGTATTTCTTCCTGTCTCCATTATTGATCCCTGTTGGATTATGGTTAGCTTCCTTCACGTCTGGTGTAGGGTCTCCGCCTTCGGGAAGGATTATGGAGCGATGGGGTTCACATATTGGATAGCTAGCAATTATCATGGGCGGTGATTAAAGATAAGATTGACTTCCATTTCTGGGGCATCCTTATGAAAACGATACACGTCCCCACAATTTCCCCATGAAAGCACTAACTCGTGTTGACAAATTATTCCTATAGAATCATATATTGTAACAGATATTCCTCCCATTATTTTATTTCCCAACATATATTACTTTACCATTGACTACTAAAAGTTGAAAATTTGTTTGCTGAGTTTTCTATGATTGTGTTGTTGAACCGGACCGGATAATTAAACCAATAAATTAGTGGCTTACCATTTAATGGTTAGTTGTTACGAGCTAAATCACTGGCAGTGGCACAATCAAGTTGGAAAATCAGTGTTTTATGAAATCCTATTGTGCTAGTGGTACAACCTCCAATACGATTTTACAATTTTTGAAAAAAAAAAATAAATAAATCTTCAACTGTGAAACAAATTCAAGAAACATTTCTTCAATCTCGAATCGAGTCAGAAGTGAAGTTATTTCTTAAATATGCTTGAGGTAATTAAAGTATAGGGTAAACACTACAAATTTAAAGAAGAATAATAATCTAAGAGAACAATATACAAAGATTACCTCATTGAATGATAATCAAAGATAAATCTCGTTGTGAACAATGTGGCTAACCATCTCCGCAGTGTCGAGGAGGGTTAATTGCTGTGTTGGTGGCTACATCCTCGACACCTCCTATGTTTGAGTCGCTCTGCTACAATAAAAGCGAGCTCCAGAGACTGAGAAGCATTCAGCCTAGGGTCATATTGATGGGTACGGTAACGAGAACTGAAATCGTACGAAGTTTCCGTGCAAGATCCTCCAGTCCACTCTGTTACATTTTGACCGCCAGTAATCTCTAGGTGGATTCCTCCCGGATGGCTTCCTTCTTGGCCATGAACATCAAAAAATGCACCTACTTCAGCCTGATATACAGAGACGACAAATAATAAGATTTGGTGAAAAATTATATCTTCTTCAGTTCATCGTCGACTGTACTTACCAAAACATGATCAAACGGACGAGCACTCTTCAGTCCACAACTCCACATAGCACTTTGACGTTTCCATGCATGGGCTCGCAGACCCATGTCACGATTTGCTTTGACCCACGCACAGCACTGATCAATTCCCGAAGCCTGACTCTCAAGTCTCTCGGAACCCATTCTGCTGATGATCGTTATTCTCCCCGGGAGGTTGGCAGGGTTTAAGATGTCAATCAGTTTCACCAGCTCGTTTGGATCCATCCTGTCACTCACCTGTGCATCACAAGTACAAGTCTCCCCTAGGATGAGAACAGTGGCCATCTGGAGCAAGATGTTGAAAGTTTCCCTGATACGATCACCATTGAATTCCTTTGAGCTCTCTGCTGCACAGTCCCCGCCGCCTTGGAGAAGGAAAGCCTTTCCGAAGGCAGCATCTCCCAGTTTGTCATGGAGACTCCTGGCTTCCACCGGGGTGATCAGTGGGGGGAACTCTTCAATGTCCTTTGTCTGCTTTTGATATTTCGGCAGCTGTAACGTCTTCTTCGTTCTCCAACTGTCAACGCTCCATTTCTCGGTGAAAGGAGGAAGAACGGCGGCCTGCCGGCACTGAACGGTGAACGGGTTTTCGGGGAGTGAACTGGCAGAGTTGGGGTTGGAGAGGAACAAGTTGAATTGGAGTTTTGGAAGGGCCATGGTGACCGAAGAGGCGAGTATAATGAGGCCCGCGCCTCTCTTATTCCGACGGGCTAGGGCTACTGCTTGCTTGGGCTCAAAAGATTATCTACTCCTTCTGGGCCCAACGGTTGTCCGGCCCATATATAGCCGGAGTTGGCAGGCGAACAAACAAAGAATTCCGGGGGGTGGGTGGGGGGACTTCCACTAGGGCTGGCTATTTGGTCCGGGTTTTTTGGTTTTACCCGAAATCGGATCGTATAACCCGGACCGAGACCGGATAGTAAACAATCCAATCCAATCCAATCTTTGGGCTTAGATTTGAGGTAAAAAACCGGATAAAGACCGGATAAGAGAGCTCAACACCCAAAATTTAAGGGTAATTTGCATAAACGGTCACAAACCTTTGCACTTAGTACAAAACTTAACCAACACCTCACCCTTTCAGTCCTTAGGCCACTCAAATCCGCACAATCTCAATATAAAATCAAGACCGAATTGGGACCGGACCGGGTTAAGACCGGACTGTATCCAATCCAATCTTCGGTCTTTATATTTTCAAAAAGACCAGACGGGACCGGATCAATTTGGGCCAATTTAACCGGACCGAACCGTATAGCCACCCCTAACTTCCACCAATCAAACAAATTCAATAATGCCATAGGCAGCTTAAGAAATGTATTTTTTTTTACAATATGATGCCTATTTTGAATTTCCATATGATACTCCAATGGTTTGTTCCATCATAACCAATGCAAAAATAAATTCCCATCCTCGTGCCTAAACAGTGATTAGGTTTTGATCATGGCGCCCTCCTAACGTGTCTTCTTAATTCCTTCTTTCTAGTTAGTCTACGTGACATTGACATTGCCCTATTTTCAACTCATGATGAAAGACATTAGAAAGAGTTAATCACACTAATGCCCAATCCCTGTAGCCCAAGACTCAATGGGCTGTTCACCTACTCACATCGATACTATTCATTGGCCTCTAATTGGCCGGTTCTCTGTCTTGGGCCCACAATTGCTGACGCTGGCTGTTACGTCGTTCCATCAGCCTCAGCCTGTGCTGCGTCGTTCCATGAGTTTTTATTGGACAACGAAGCGCATATATAATAAAAGTATGTATTTACAGATGACAAAGATGCGGAAGCACTTCATGTTCATGGTTTGGGATTCAATTAGACAAACAAGAGAGTAGGATTGATGATAACCCAATCCTTCAGAGAAATGAGATATCTATGTCTCTATATACATATGGTTCTCTAGGAGCAAGATTCTAGGTAATTTATGTTGATTAGGTGCCAAAAATGATATGATATATATATAGCTATTTTCTTATTCTTTGAAACTATATATATGGGGTTTCCCCAGAGAATAGTATTATGATTTCGATATATATTATTATTGCTTTTAATTGTTATATATATAGTAAACTCTCTTAGTCATAGTATACAAAAACAAATGAGAGTGGACAAACAAAGTCCACGACTCTCTCATTTCGTTTTAAAAGCGGCAGTTACAATTACAAATGCGTACGTCTCTGCATATTTCTAGTCTCGATCTCCCTTTCTTCAGAATTTTGTTCCCTGTCCACCGTACAAAGAGAGAAGGACAGAAGCAGGAATGGAGAAGAGGCTGCTGACCTTGGCGGCGGTGTTATTCGCCATGGTGGCGGTGGTACCGGAAGTGTCTGCTAAGAGATGGCTCGTGGGGAAAATGGGGTGGACTACTCAAGTCAACTACACTCTCTGGGCTCAGGATCTCCACTTCTACAATGGCGACTGGCTCTGTAAGTCCCTCCTTCTCCTCCTCCTACTTCTAATCTTTCATTCTCGTTAGCTGAACTTCAGATCGATCTTTACATACCCTTACTTCTTCTTTTGTTAGCTATTTTCCAATGTAACGTATAAATCTGTCACGAACCAGTTGATACCAATAATTCGAGTTGTTGGGAAAGACTTATACCACTTTCTCACACGTCCCCTCAAACAAAAGTCAATTCACGGCCTTAAAGTTTGCGCATGCCCACCATATATTGTGCTTTAATCAATTGTTGATACTGGATATCATGGAAATTCGAAAACATAACCACTTGGCCAAACCATGTTCTGGTACTATGTAATAAACCTAATAAATCAATTGATCTCGATGACTCGAGCTCTTAGTAGAGGTTCCATAATGAATATTATACGACAAATGAAAGTCTTTTGTGCTTTGTGTTTTGCAGTTTTCGTGTACGACAGGAACCAGATGAACGTGCTGGAGGTGAACAAGGCTGACTACGAGAGCTGCAATGCCGACCACCCGCTCAAGAACTGGACCAGAGGAGCTGGAAGAGATGTGGTTCCACTCAACGTGACGCGAGACTACTACTTCGTCAGCGGGAGAGGGTTCTGTTTTGGTGGCATGAAGCTGGCCCTCCGCGTCGAGAACCTGCCGCCGCCTCCGGTACAAAAGGCGTCGCCCGTAATTAAGACTACTGACGCTCCTTCGACCATTCTCTGCCGCCGGCGCGGAGTCCGGCCTGCAGTTTTCGCCATCGGAGCTCTGTGGGATGCATTTGTCCGCCTCTGGCAGTGAAAGTAAAAATTTCCTTCTACAACGTTGAGAATTCCAATTACAAGAGAACACCGACCACCACTGTGCGCCAATGGCATGCATTATTGGACTTGTTTTCGACTGATTCTATGCAATGATTCAAACTATTGAATTTGTATTTTTTAGATTGATTGGGCGCAATCCTTGTGTTTATTTGTCATTATTGAGTTTGGAACCTGAACAATTTGCCGGTAATAAATAGAAGGAAGGCGGTCGGATGATGTCAGAACTCCGGTCAATTTTCTCGAATTCTAGAACTTTTTCATTGTGTTTTAAGGTCAAATGACTACACAATATACAAACCAATGATGATTAACTTTTGAAAATTAATTTTCGTCGAAACAAAACGATCCATAGAAAACTAGAAAGTTTTTTAAAGCATGGTTTCGAAACTCCAGAATTATTTTCAAATTTTCTCAATCTAGTAGAAATTCTTTTACAAATTATTAGCGAACTAACCACTCAATAACTCAAATTATTGGAAAATAATTTATTAAACCTTTTAACCTCTCACGCAGAAATTAGAAATAAAAGAGTCTTCTCAAGCCTATCTCGTTAAACCCACCAAACTAGCTAGTTGACATTCGGTGAAATTAATTATACACATCCCAACTACTCCCCTCAACAAGCACATAACTAAATGGTCCGTACAATTATTTTTGGCTTAACAAATATTGATCCAAATTGTTTTATTTCTCATCTTACGTCAGCCATTACCGTTGACTATCGAGAGTTGACAAACTACTGTTACGCAGTAGGCAGCTAATGAGCGAATATATGAGCATTCCCTGCTGGCCTGATCAAGCATACCCGGGCTTTAAAGGCTGCTGCCAGTTTGGGCTGAAAATCTCTACTCTTTTTGGGCCTCGCTTGTCATCCGGCCCATCTACACTCCGAGTAGGCACAATCAAGGTAATCAGATTGGAAGCATTAACCACACCGGTATATAATCAATCATCCCATCCTTTACTTATCAATTTATCATTAAGCCTAAAAATTTATACTATTTTGTGCAATCACCCATGATCGGTGGTTAATTTACTGTAATGGTTTTATTATGTTAATTAGAAAGTGACGAAAACAGTAATATATGAGGTCGGAAATTACACAACTATTGAACAGGGGAAGAGGCAAGGCGTGCCTTGAATGAATCCCAACTGATCTCTTTCTCCAAGTACTCAATGTTGGAAGGATCAAATGGCCCCTTAATCCTGTCTACCCATTTAATCACGGCCCTCGCCGGAATAACGCTCTTTGACGGGTCCGCCGCCGTCCCGTAATTCAAGCACGACGAGAATCCCTGAATATATAATTAACAGCACACAATTGATTAAATTGCTTACAAATTGAAATTAGGGAACCAATTAATAATCGACTGATTACTTAACTCTGAAGATGAGGACTTCCACAAGCCGGCCATCCACAGAAGCATGAACAACAAGAGCTTCACCTCTAGCACTCTGAGTGTAGAATTCCAGCACCGCGATTTCTTGATTGTACTCTTCGTCTTCGTTGTTCTCCCCGTCGTCCTCTTCATCGGCGATGCTGTCCCATCTCGCTTGCCTCCTGCCGGCTGCGGCGGCGGCAGTAGTAGTACAAGGACCATAGGCCTTCTCCGTCAATTTGTGTAATGAATTCATACTCACCGCAGTAGTTGGACTTGGGATTGTTGAGGGCCGTCTTTGGATCGCCGTCACCTGCAGGTGTTTGAGGTCTGGGAAGAGACCTTCTGCTGCTGGCGCTACTACCCATTTCCCCGTTGGTGAGCCAATTGGTTTGATCAGTAACATTTCTTGAAGATGATGGTGTGGATTGGTTGGTTCGTGAGAAGGAGAAGGAAGTAAGTTTTTGGGTGTCCTTTACAAGATAAGGTGGATGCAGTGCTTGGTGGACAGAATGCCATGAGTGCGACTAGCTACCACCATTTTGTAGTAGCATTATTTGAGATATGTTTTCTTTTGTCTGTTTATGATGTTTTCCCCCAGAAACAAAATAATACCTTTTTTATATCGAGATTGTGCTCGATGTTAAGTTTTTCAACCTATGTATGCAAGAACACAGAGTTACAGTTTGCTACTATGTTGGAACCTTTGGATCAGATGTTCTTTTCTAGCGACCAGTTTGTAACACGATTCTGCTTAATAGTCATCTGCTCTAGAAAATCTAATGACTGTGATCGGACTGCATTGAAGATACTGTCCAGTCTCCTAAGATCTAAGATGATCTCTACTCTCAAAGGCTAGTCCAAGAATCACTTAATGGTGTCCGCACCTAACAGCTATGCAGGGATCACTTTAGGTGATCGTTTCACCTAAGAATCAACCAAGAACAGATCACTTAGGGTGACAGTGATCCTACCAAAAACAATTATCAAAGCTATCTTATGACAGCAGCAGTAGTCCTACGTTGATGGGCTTTTTGGGCCGGCCCTCTAGCCACGTACGAAGCATGGTGGTGGCCATCCATCACACTAGTGCATCAAATCATCTCTGCAAAAACTGCTGGTAAACATTCGCAAAATCAGAAGTAGGGAGGATTGGTCGCGGCTCGAAACACCCATGTTTCTCCTCATGGCCGGTCATCACCTGCATTGGCAACCAGAACCAGAGAAGGTTTAAGGTGGTGGGAAATGGACTACCCAGTACCGTCTTAAGAACGGAAGAAATGAAGCATATGCAAAGCAATCAATCAGGTAAATGCTTACTGCATTCCAGGAGTTTCGTCATAGCATGGTAGTATCAGCCGGATAACTTCCTAAAATCCGCAAGGATGTTGCAAGCTTCTGCAAACAAAGGATATAAACACACGTTTCATGGCAAGTCCAACATGCAATGAGGAAGAAAAATCATTGTGCAACGGAAAAGCTTGTGAAGGAAAAACAAGACACACTTCTAGATCTTGTAGGGCCCTTTTAGCATCATCACTAGCCATTGAAGCCTCAAAATCGGCATAGAACAGATAGTGAAAGCATCTGCAGAAAACCATACTACTACTGTCTTAGCTACAGCATGAACAAGATAGAGGAGTTAAATTGAGGGGATATAAACGAAGAACCAGCTATTTGTCAATAACTTACTTCTGAAGTCCACTGGCATCTAGTCCAGGAAATCTCTCAGAACTCCAACTCATAGGGCGGCTCTCAATCTTGTTCAGAACAAAGGGACCAAAATCATGAACATGCAAATAGCATAAGAAAGTTTTTGGCTGGGAATGAGGGGCCAAAAAGAAAATTACTTTCGTTAGGTTGATTTGCCTCTCTGCAAAAACTGCAAGAGCCTTGTGAAGTATTCCAGGGCCCTCCTCAAGTGAAAAGACTATGCTTGTCTGAAACCCAAAGAAACAATGTTATCATGATCCCTACCTGTTAAGTTAGTCAGGCAACAGTGATTAGCAACACAATTACTGTCATGTTAACCTTGAAGGGACGATCAGTGCCTGCAATTATGGGCTCCCTCGCCAACATCAGAAATCTTGTAACGTTGAGAGAGGCATCCTAATAGAATAGGATCACAGTTACGAACTACCGTTCTAGAATCAACATAAAACATCATCAGGAATTTATACAAACAATGCTGAAACCTGAATGTCTTCTGCTAATATATCTAGGCCATAGATTTCAGCTGCAGCGGAACTAGCAACAGCTCCTGTGTCCTCCAATTTCTTGAGTGCAACATGCTGAAATCAGGGAGTTCAATCCCAGCAAACCGGGAGAGGAAAATGAATCCGGGATTAGATTAGCCACTCAATGTGGTTCCAACGATACAATCCTAAACATAAATGCAAGGATGGTGCAGACCAACCAAAACCTGACACGCGTAAAATCTCATCTTACCTTTGCTGCACCAGCAGTATCATCCACTGCTTCTCTAACCAATCCCAACCTGGTTAACGTATGTTCACATTGAGCAAGTGCCTGAAATAAGTTCCAGTAAATCCTCCAGTTGGTTGAGTTGAATATCTTGAGAAGGAATCCATGAACAATATATTCAGTAACATACCTGGGGATGACTTAGAACCCTCTTCAAGTGTTCAACTTTAACACCTTGATTTGCTAGCAAGCAATGACGAACAGCATATTTTATTTCTCCAACTATATGTAGCCTGTGTCGGAGTAAGAGGTCGTAATTTCTGTGGATACTCCCACCCAAAGAGTTTTCGATGGGTAACACAGCTCTGTCCACAGAGCAGCCTTCAACAGCCTGTAAAGGTTAATGTCAAAAGGCCGTGCACAATCACATCCACAGAGAAAAACACATATGTACAAATTAAGACTCTGATGTCATGGAGTTCCATCAATAAATAACAAAATCTGTGAAGCGATTTCAAACTAATGGTTCAACCACACTTCACTGTAGCACAACTGAAAGCCACTTAAAATTGCCGCATCACTGAAAACTGAATTCCAACTCCCAATCATAGCAAATAAAAGTGTTGCTCTGCCTAACAGTGAGCAAGAAGAGCCTAATTTGAGGTCCTCGGTATTAATTCAAATCATGATAAATTCCAAGTTTCTCCGTCACATAGAACAATCAAAGAAAAATCGGACATCCCAGTAAAAGAAACATCATAAAGAAGAGAAATTTACTTCAAATGCAGTTTCGAATTGATCGCAAGGTACCGGCTCACAGTTGGGATATGCCTTCTGGGCAGCAGATTCGCTATGTGCCCCACAGAGCCCCTGCATTCAAATTTACATTTCAGTAAAAACAGGAAATCAAGTAGAGAAAAACCATTTTTTTTTTAATATCAGAAACACATATCGAAATGCAGAAAGCGACAGCAAACCTGATAAGCAACGCGGAGGGGAGAACCACCGGACCCTGAATTAGGCACTGGCGCCGACGTCAAACGCCCTGTTGAAAACGGGCAGTAGAACAACAATTGAATTGAATTCCTCCAACGAATACCATACAAAAGAGAAAATCAAACCCAAATCTGAAGTAAGAAAATCCCTACTCGGAAGCGAATCCTGGGTTAGCACATTGCATGCAGAGGAAACAGCGGCTCCATCAGACGAATTGTTGTTACCGAATGTGGAGGCTCGTACCGACACGCAGGAGCGCCGTCTTGCGCAAAGTAGAATCTGCGGCGCTTGATCGGAGCGCGAGGGTTTAGCAGGGGTTCGGCTCGTGAGGGGGGAAATTAAGGATCGCGTAAGAGAAGCGGCCATTGTCGAGTTCGCAGATTGTGACGCAAACGAGAAGACCCCGGTGGCGCCTCGCCGGCGGTAAACAGTATATTTTAGATAGGGAGAGAAAAAGAAGAATGCCACGGTAATTTACGTGAGCTTTTGTATAGTTTAACTTTATAGAAATATAAGGGAAGCACACTATAATAAGTTAATAATAACTTGATTTCAGTTTTTTTTTCCTAGTAATATCAAAGTACAATAGTTAAATTCTCTACCCAAAATTCAAAGAGATAATTAGTGAAGGCACCCTACAAAATCAAAGGACCCTATCTCATCGAGACCGAACTAAAGTGAATACAAGAAGAACAAGATCTCAACAACTGAATACAATCGCAAAGTAAGGGCCTTCCCACCGAGTCTTCAAAGCATCTATCATCAAGTTACCAATGGAATTGGTAAAAAATGATTGTATTAGATAAATATATTTAATTCAATTGTACTGTTGTTTTTTTATTAATAATTATATTCTTTGTGATTATTATTCTTCGGTAAAAATGAGTTTAGTTTTTCTTGAGAAAATAAGAAATAAGCTTAACCAATGGAATGGAGAAATTCGGTGGGATTTGGAAGACAGCTTCTTCCCAATATCAATTATAACACGGGGAAAGAAAATATAAAATAACAAAAATCAAGAGAGAGAGACAAACGCTGAGAGGACAAAAAAGCTGACGTGGATCAAAATTAGCAAAGCTCAGCCATTAAATCCTGCCTAATCAAATCTTGGTTGGGCAAGCAAGTCAATGCTCACGTCTTTACTTTCTTCTAATTACGCCATCTCACATGAGCACCCACTAGTTAGTCTAACACCTTGCCTCATACTCCTACATCGCTATTTACATTTTCTCTTTTATCTCACAGTAAAAAACAGAGACCTAGAAGGAAAAATCACCAATCACCATACTCGATTGACGACGACGCCTGACGGCCGCAAGCGGCTACAAGAACCTCCTCGTACAACTCCGCCGCGTGATCCCAGCTCGGATCCTGGCTCATCCCGCGCATCTGAAACCCTTCCCAACTCTCCTTGAACATTCTATACGCCCACAAGCAATTCCCCAGCGCACGTTCCAGCTTACTCGATTCAGCGGAATCAAACATCCACCCCAACCCGGAATCGTTAAACGGGAAGAACGTCCGAACCGTGTCTCTCGACCCATCGTCACCGGCATGAACCACAGGGATCGTCCCGTACATCATCGCACACAGCTGGTTCAACCCACTCGGGTCAAACCTGGACGGAAACAGCAAGATATCCGCGCCGGCGGTGACTCGATGCGCCGTCTCCACACTGAAGTACCCGACCATCCCTCTGACTTTGTCCCCGTATTCGCGCTCCAACTCTCGAAACAGTTGCTCCAAGTCTTGCCTCCCTGTGCCAAGCAACACAACCTGCACATCTTGCTCTGCCATCCACGGAAGAGCCTCGGCTATAAGATCGACGCCCTTCTTGCAATCCAGCTTCCCAACGAAGCCAATCAAAGGAACTCCCGGCCTCTCGGGCAAACCAAGCTCTCTCTGAAGCGCCGCTTTGCATTTTGGTTTTCCAATTCGAAATGTTTCCCGTGAGTAGTTGCTGTAGCCGTGGGAATTCAGGTGATGATCGCGACGTGGATCCCACTCTTGGATGTCAATGCCGTTTGCTATCCCACTCAGCTTCCACTCGACCTCTTTTATCATGGTGTCAAGGCCCTGCCCGCCGTCCGGTGTTTGCAGCTCCCAGGACTCTCCGTGCCTGCCTGTTACCACTTGTTCTGCCGTCTTCAGACCAGCGGCGAAGATGTTGAAGTGCTCTCCGCCGTCGGTTGGGTCGTCGAATGTAAAGAGGTTCGAGTACTCTGCCGGCAGGTCCACGTACCGGAAATCCTCCATCTGGCCCCGACCCTGCTCAAAGCAGAGAGCATCACTGGTTAGTCATCCTTCCATTGAAACAAAAAGTACAAACCCCCGCCTGGAAAAAACAAACACATCTCTGATTGGAATGTGAATAAAGAGATGCGGACCTGCTTAGCTATGTTGTGAATCACGAGAACGGATTTTGAGCGCATGATCCCCTTGTCGCGGTAGTATTTCAGATAAACTGGAAGCAGAGCTGTGTGCCAATCGTTTGCAATGTACACCAAGTTTGCATCTCCATAGAAAAAACCAGCAAAGGGGAAAAGCCCAGTAACCTGGAAACCAACACGGTCACTTGTTTCACACTCAAGCAGAACATGAACCCAAGTAATAACTTTGTATTTAGCACTACAGGAAGATATAAAGGAAGATATACTACAGAGTTATTAAGTGTACCTGGACAGCTGCTTTGCAAAATAACACCATGCGCTTCAGAAGATGCTGCAGAGATAATTTCATGACCAGTAAGGTAAGACTCCTGGTCAAGGGTGATAACGAAGAAGCATAAAGATGACCCAAAACGAACAAATATTATATACCCTTCGCTGTCCTCCATATATATTGCTCTCTATGTGACGGAACAAAGGGCAGTCTACCAAGACAAAGCAAACGCCATCGATGTAGGCTTGGAAGTAAGTGACCGCTATGTCCTGAAACGTAACATTACAGATACAGATCCCCATTAATGACACGCAGAAGAAGATGACTGTATAAATCTATTCAACTGCTGCATCTGGGTACACACCTCACCATCCACCTTAAGCATATTTCTTACTGCAGAGTGCTCAAGCCCAGCATAATCACCATATTGAGGTGAAACAACCTAAATGACAATGTAGGTAATCTTCTGTTATGAACAGAGATAAGTAATCATGATTCAAAACCCATTCTATATGATTACAGATTACATTGTAGAATCAACTGTTGAATTGATCAGTTAATCAAGATGCTATGACACAATACTGATTACAGACTGAAGCAGTAGATCATCTTCTCTACTATTACTCAACACAATTCATTTTCAATACTTGGCAAGAATGGTTCAGTTAATCAGGACTCTATGGCAATAGTGATTTGTAGACTGCAGCAGTCAATCTTCTTCTCTACTATTACTCATCACCTTCATATCCAATGCTTAGCAAGATCGGTTCACTTAATCAAGATCCTAGCAAGAAGAACAGATCTGAAGGACAAGAAAGGACTTTACCATAACCCTGTGTCCACGTCCAGCCAAAGCCTTTGGCAATGAAGCAGCAAAATCCCCAAGCTCGCCTGCAAGAACCATTAATCCTTCAGTTGTGATTGAGAAAAAAGGATCAGCGAAAATCTCAATGTAAACGCAGAGGATTCGTTGAATTACCTGTGTTGGACCATGGAGCACATTCTGCAGAAACCAAAACGACGTTCATGGCATTCTCTCCAGCCAAAGGATCAGGAGGCTCTGAATCTTCCACGTTTGGATCACCTTCAACGTCAGCCTCGTAGAAATATGCACCCGCTGAAGCTTTGGACATGGAGAATGCCCAAGTTCTTCTTCCGTCGAGCCCCTTCTGCACTCCGTTCTCCTGCCCAGGCAGAGCGCTGGTCTTCTTCTTTCGGTTGTTGGGAAGTATCAACCGAGTACTTCTCCGTTCTTCATTCATCCGGGGGGAGAGGAAACTTGTTGGGAAGCTAAGCAGCGACGCCATTGGAAGAAAGAACTCGAAGAAACGAAGAGCTTGGGTCGAGGAAATCTGCTCTGTCCTTTTCCTTTGGGATTTCTTTCTCAGCACGATTTTGGTTGTAGAAGAAAAGAATGTTGCAGAACTTTTCTGACGGGGAGAGGCGGTTATTGGTGCGTACGAGAGCGGGACCCACAAAGATTTTCGTGAGCAGACGTGGAGGGAAAGGCTGCAATACGGTGAATCCGGGGTACTGATAACGAGAAATATATACCTTTGGATTAGTTTTGCGACACAACGCTCTCCGTTGATCAATATTTGATTGCGAGATGGAAATGGGGAGCATGGCTTTTATTTATTTATTTTTTTTTTTGCAATGGCATTTTTAATTCCCATTATATGAAGATTGAGTGTACAAAATTTGTTTATATTTGGCCATTTCAATGTCACCCGTTTTGCTTTATTTTTTTACTTGTTTTGAATGAGTATATGTATCGTATTCGATCTGATTTGTCTTAACACGCTTCAATTTCGATACGTTATTACCTAAATTTTATTTAATTTTATTTAAATTATTTATGATCTTATTTTTATTAATTTATATTTGAGATATAATGAAGTTTTAAAGAGGTGTAAACATCAATTTCTCAAATAATTTCACTATATTTATCATATTATAGTTTATTTATTAATTTTTTATTGATAAATGAATATCTCTAATGTTTTTCTGTTAAAACTATGGTACTTATGTATGTATGGTTGTGTTGATCTGTTTGTTTAATTCTTTCTTTCTTACCATTTGTAATTCTTTCAATGAATGAGCATCTAATTAAGTATCACTTTATTTATATAGGTATTAACATTATCGATTCCACCTCAAATATCAGTTAATCTAAATAGAAACGAATAACTAGATGTGTCATTCCTAAGAAGAGTATTAATTACGTTCTTCAAAATTTCGAGTTGCAAAATATTTCCCAGAAATTTGGGGGAAATCGTAATTAAAACACGAACGAGAAAAACTCTAAGCTTTAGAGGACAAAAATTTACACATATTAGTATTACCAAAGATGTAGGAAGATCATTTCTCCCATTTTACTCGCACAAAGAAGCCCTCTCCTTTACTATCGCCCCCGTTTACTAATTTCTTATTAATGATTCAAGTAACCACATTCATCTCTCTTCTACCTTGTCCATCTCAAAAATGGGGAGCCAGCCCGAATCTCCGTTGTTGCCCCAACACCACATAAAGAAACCCACGTACGCCGCCGCCGGCGTCGTCTTCCCCAAACCCACCGACGATCCTCCGCCTCCGCCATCCCTTCCACCTTCGCCGCCGGTTGACAACGATGATCCTAACAGCCATAAACCAGAACCCGAATTCGAATGTTCACCCCGATGTCTCCGTGTCACCGCCGTCCTCGGCGTACTCCTGCTCATCGGCATTCCCATCTATTACGTGATAGAAGACCAATTGGCGCCCTACTCCCCCAAAGCCAACGTCGTTTCGGCCTTCGTGTCAATAAAAAAATCCAACACCAGTAATGGGCCCGCCGCGGGCCGGTTGACAGCCAATTGGGCCTTCACTCTCCATCTCGACAACTCGCTCCCTTGCTGTCAGGCCGTGTACCCGTACCGAGTCGAGGCTTCCGTTTATCACCAGGCCGACGGCGGTGGGGGCCCGGCCCGTGACCGGCGTGTGCTGGCGTCGACGCGTCAGTTTGCGGGGTTGAGCGTGGACCCGAAGGTGGACGATCTGACGTTTTTTATTCAGTTGGGAGCGGACGGAGCGGACGTCGGGGAGAATGTGACGGCGGCCGTTTATAGGGATCTGGCCGAATTGGAACAGAATCGGTTGCGGTTCAGGGCTGTGATTCTGGTTTGGGTGAGGATCGAACCGTATAACTTCGGAAGCCGGTATTATTTGGCTCGGATTAGTTGTGATCCGTTCTGGACCGGTTCGGCTAGTATTGCGGGCAAGTCCCTCGATGACAATAAGGAGTGTCAAGTCCACGTGTAAGTATATAAAAATTCTTATCATATTAGTAAAATTGTGATCGGGAGTCGTAAAACACCGAATTTTATAGGTTTTGCTACTTTGATTTTGCATTGGAAGCCAGATTTGTCAATATATATGTAATGTGTAATTGTATGTTATGGTTGAGCAGGATTGAACAAAGCCACCCAAGTTCCTTGGACCAAAATCGAACAAGACTCAACGCTACAACAGTAAAAATTAGTAGCGGGGAAGTGAAGCTCTGAGTTGCCCAAGTGTTGTTTTTTACTTTTTACTACGTCTGAACTTTTGTAAGAGTAGAGTAAATATGGAGATAAATGTTGGTTTTTGGATTTGATCTTATGGTAAGGAGTTGAGGATCTTAGATGGATAATTTATTTAGAGGTTTGTTTGGCAAACATGTATTCTAAATGGATGTTTAAGATACATACTCTTTTTTTTTTTTTCCTTTTTCATGTTTTGTACCAAATTTTTGGTACCAGACAAACTCATTTAATAGAATGCATGATAATCACTTCCAGGACAAATTTTAGCTTAATTTAGAGATTTTGAGAAGTTATTATAAACAAAACATTGAAGTTTGAACTATAATATTACATGAATTATTATTGTCTCACTTACAAGATATACAAATTAAAATTTAAAATTTTATTTTGCTATACATACTTGTCAAACGAAATTAAATAAGTTATGTACCGATAATAACCACTCTCATTTATCAAGAAAATGAAACAAACCCAAAATAATAATCAAAATAATCAAAAACCCAAAAAAAGAAAAACCTAAACCTAAAAGGAAGGCCAAACTCGGCCAAGCCCGAAACCCTGTCCAAATACCCGGTCAGGTATTCAATGTCACTGGTCCGGGGTGTTTCTGATCCGAATACCCGGTCTCCCCTTGGAAACACCCGATCATGTATTTTCCATATTTGGCTGAGGATGCATTGGTGGGATCACATCAAACTGTAAGCAAAATATATTAACTTGACGAAAGAGTTTACTTTTATTTTTATTAATCCACAAACTAGAGAATAACATGGGTTATGGTATAAAAGCTACAAAATCAAATTACAAGAGACTTACATATAATTAATGGAATATATTACACATTTTGTTGTAATCAAAATGTTATTAAGTGAATGTAGAAAAGTAAAAATAATAACTCTTTTTTTATCACAAGGTGTAGGGTGTTAGATGTAAGGTTAAGTGTTAAGAGTATCACTATAAGAAAAAAGGTTTTCAGCTATCATTTTCTTGGCGACCATAGAAAAATAGTTGCTTATAACTAGATTTTGCCAACTGTTAACAAAATGGTTGCTGATACCCAACTCTAGCACAACCAGTAGTAAAATGGTCGCCCATACATCAAAGCTTCAACAATCATTTGCAAAATAGTTGGTGATACCTTACCCTTTACCAACAATGTGGTAAATGATCGCCATAAACCAAAACTTCGCTACCAGTTTTGAAATGGTTGGAGATACTCTACCCTTACGCAACTAAGAATGAAAGAGTTGTCGATAGACGTAAACTTCAGCAACCATTAGTTAAATGGTTGGTGATACACCATAACTTAATCAAGCATGGGGTAAATGGTTGCCGATAGACCAAAACTTCGGCAACTTTTTTGAAATGGTTGAAGATACCCTACCCTTAAGCAACTAAGAATGAAAGAGTTGTCGATAGATGAAAACTTCGGCAATTATTAGTAACTGAGTTGCTGATAAACCATAACTTAACCAACCATGTGGTAAATGGTTGTCGATAAACCAAACTTCGACAACCATTTGTGAAATGGTTTGAGATATCTTATACCCTGAATTCTTATAGTGTATAATGCGTAGCCAAAAGCAAGTGATCCTCTGTAAAGAGATAATATGTCAGACAAAGAGTGAACTTAACTACACCTAAGAAAGAAGAGCTATTAGCACCGAATCTAAACTTCCAATCCTATTTTGTGATTCGAACAAGCTACTCAACTTTCAAATGTAGGTAACTATATTTCTAACTATGATATTCTTTATATTTCATTCGCAAAAAGAAAAACGAAAAAACATTTATCTATACTCTATTGGTTGCTCCTCATCTTCATCGTTATACGTTTTATCCTGATCACCTTGCATCATATGTCTACACCACAAAATTTCCTTCACTAATCTCATTGCATATATGTTATACACCCAGTGGCGAAGCTACGCTGAGTCTGGAAGGCGATATAGCCCCTACTTAGATCAATTCATGTGTAAAATTTGCAACAAATTTAGAAAAATAGATTAGTTGATAATTAAGGTTCTTAATTAATTAACCCCCTCCCCCAATAACCATTGCTCAAATTCAAAAACGTAAAATTTTTAGCTCCCTATTTAGAAAGCGACAAACAAACGTCTTTTTTTACCATTGTTATAAATTCATTGTGCTTTGGTTCTATTTTTTTTCCCCCACTTCATCAAACCAGTCTAGTCTCTGATTGCTCCAAACATAGATAAATTAGCGAAAATTTTTGTGATTGCTGCCGAAGATGTAGGCTAGTGGTTAAGTAAGTTACAAAAAACATGCAAAAAATATAAAGTAATGATAATCAGATCATTAATGACTGTCTCTCCCTTTGACTCGCTCAAGAACTAGCTAGAGGCACGACCACAATGATCGTTGCTATCACACTTATTAAGGATTCAGAATTCATCAAAAGAAAGAAATCAGATTAATTCGTCTCTTCTTCTTAGCCACGCATCCACAAAAAAAAAAAAAAAAAAAATGGGCACCTTGACGTCATCATCATCATCATCCGAGCCTCAATCTCCACTATTGCCCCTACAACAACATCACAATGTGAATTCGCCGTCCGCCACCGCCGTCGATCCCACCACCACCGATCCGCCGCCGCCACGGTCGTCCCTATCGGCTGTTGACCACCAGTACTACAACGTGAGCAGAGATCCCACTTGTACAGAATGTTCGATCACGATTCTCCTATTTGCCCTTTTTTTCGGCGGTCTCTGGACTGTATTATCATATGGCGAATCCAAACCATACTCCCCCTCCGCCGACGTGATTTCGGCCTTTGTGTCAATCGAGAAGAACAACGGTTCCACTGGTCATGTGGGCAGGTTACTGACGGCCAATTGGGCCGTCACTCTTCATCTCGATAGCTCCACTTTTTGCTGTCAGGCGGTTCATCCGTACCGAATCGAGGCTTCCATTTTTCAGGCCGCCGGCAACGACTCGTCATCATCAGCTGGCGGTGGTGGCCACCAATATCTGCTCGCTTCGACTCGGCGGTTCACGGGTTCGACCGCCAAACCGGGGCAGGACCACACCACATTTTCGATTCAATTGAGAGCGGAAGAAGCAGATGTTGGGGAACACGCGGTGGCCGATGTCATGGAAGCGGTGGAGGAGAATCGGTTGCGGTTCAAATTATTGGTTCTGGTTTGGGTACGGGTTAACGGTCGGTATTATTTAGCGCGTATCGGTTGCGATCCGGTTTGGATCGAATCTTACAGTATCACAGGCAATGAGTTCCGGAAGAATACAAATAAATGCCAAGTACAAGTGTAAGTACAATTTTTTTTTTCTTCTAATTATTACTACTCGCGACGGAACTATATGAGTATACGCGAACATGCGTTGATAATCTTTTCCTATTATGCATAATACTAATGTGTATCGCGTATCTCATGTGAATTATTTTGGTTGAGCAGGACTTCACAAACCAAACCAATGTCTTGAGATTAGAAGCTCCAAGTTACATAACGGGTTTTTTTATTACTACATATTTTATCTTATTGTGAAATTTTGTAAGAAATGAAGCCATATGCGGAAGAAGATTGATGTAATGGGGCAGAATAGTTGTTTGGAAGAATTAGTGTTGCGTCTGAACAATTTGTTTTAATTGTATTTGTCAACCAATATCTAACACACACATGACATTCTAAATTATCCTTCTTAATCAGTACACCCTTGGACAACTAGAATCTTAACAAACACATGACATTTGACGTATTTGGACCTTGAATACTATGTACATAGTAAGTATATTCAGAAATATTTTTCAACCCATGCCCATGACATGTGTAGAGTGGCATTTACGGGCTTAGGGTTGTGGCAGGGAATTTCTATTCCTCTCTTCCTCAAATTCTCTTATATATATAATAGCGATGATCATTGATTGATAAAGGTGAATAAGAACACAGTTCGGAGAGAGCGCAAACACATCCTTGAATTTGTCTCAAATTATGGGATATCACGTATATCGTGTATCGTTGTTAAGAACACAATTCGTAGAGCGCAAACTCATTCTTGAATTTGTCTCAAATTAAGGTGAATAAGAACACAATTCGGAGAGCGCAAACTCATCTTCTTTTTTTTTTATAATGGTGATGAACTTTATTAAAGAAAAAACAAGAAAAAAAGGGGGAGAAGCTGCGCGGACGTCGGTGATAACCGGATGGGAGCAGTTTTGGAGGAAGTTATGCAGATCTTGGCTGGTCATCCGGGTTTTAGTGTTCGATTTGTAGGTCAGTGTAATAATAGGGTAGCTCATGTGGTGGATAGAAAGACCATTTCTTTGTACCCAATTGCGTGTCGTTTCTTTAATTTTCATGTCTGGCTGAATTCCAAGATGTAACTGTCTCTTTGTCTATCAATATATGATTATTTTTTGTAAAAACAAAAAACTCATCATTCCACAAGATTGGACGTGTGAGTTCAAGTGTCCTGACCGCTAAAAAGCAATACAAAGAGCATAGCACTAAAAAACAAACAGCCCACACCAGCAAAAAACAAAGGAAAGCCAGCAGACCCTGGAAGTTACACACAGCTGCTAGGCGAAACACACAACCTGAGTACAACATGATTAGTAGTTAAGTTCCACTATTCTTACGCAAACTCATCCTTGAATTTGTCTCAAAATATGGGATATCACGTATATCGTGTATCGTTGTTATATTTTCATTTTGATCCTCATACATTTCGATAAATGTTAGACTCTTGATTTGGTATAAGAGCCTTCAGTGATCGAAAGGTTTTTTGCTCGAATTTTAATGACCCCCATTGTTATGCGCATGGTGTCTAATATATGTTCATATTTTAAGCTCATATGAGTGCGCTTTCATTTGAGGATGTGTGTCAGTAAATGATATAAGATTCATAATTGAATCTCTCTCAACAACTCGAGCTCTGAGTAGGTGACAGATATCATGCCATGAAAGACGTTAGTTTGGAGCCATTTTGGTTTCAACAGTTGCTTTTGGACTTTGATCGATGTTACTTTTGTTTCTTCTATTTCCTGGGTTGTTGACAATACGAGTGGCATTCGGATTATTGTCAACCTTGTTCTTCATGACAGCACAAAGCATACAAAGTTGACATCCACTATGTGCGTGACTTGATCAATGAAATTGTTCTCATGCTTCATTATTTGCCTATTGATGAAGGATAGCAACCAGGGAACTATAATATTTTTTATATTAAATTTTGTATGCTTTAGTCTTAATATGAAATAGGTTGCATACAATCAGCCTTGAGGAATCACCAAATCTTGGTGCTTGTCAACTCAAACATCATCTTCGTCCCATTTACAAAGTTTATTGGCCATGAAATAGGTATTAGGGATGGCAATTTTGACATTACCCGTTTTACCCAACTTGTTTGACCTGTTTTGGGGCGGGTCCGACCCGCCCCGTAGGCGGGGCGGGCATGGGTAGTCTCATCGACCTGACCTGCCCTGACCCGCCCCATTCTCGACCCGTTCTTGTCTATTTTACATGTAATCTTAGTCAAATTACTTTGAATTTTCCTTTATTGCATCATATTTTAGCTATAATAAAGTTGTAAATTAGTGAAAACCTCAATTTCTCCAATAATTTAACTACAATTGTCATAATATTGTTTGTTATCTTAGTCTTATAATAAAAATAACGAATATTTCTAATGTTTTTCATATAAATTGCATACCCATTGGGTCGACCTGCCCCGACCCGCGACCCGTGATCAATTACCCGACTTGGACCCGCCCTGCCACGGGGCGGGTCTGGGTACCTAGAAACCCGCCCCGGACCTGCCCCATTGCCATTCCTAATAGGTATCTTTGTTATTGTTACGGTCTCAAGAACCAACGTCACCCTGACCAATTGAATTGGAGAGATCTCTAATCTCGTGCACACGTTTTCTAACTCCGTCTTCTCCACCTTCCTCGTATATGTATTTGTTGCACAGAAAATAAATATGTTTATGATATGTTAGAAATAATTTTTTTTATAATGGTGATACAAATTCTTTTTTTTTTTTTAATTAGGTGCTATATACTGTTACCGATTGTTTGGTTGTGCATGACTCTACAAAGTACAAAGCAAGCCAAGTTCCTTAGATGAAAATTGAATAAACCCCAACATGACCAGTGAGGTCTATGATTGGGTTGCAAGGCTGTTATTTTCTTACATCTTTTGTAAACTTCAACGGACTGCAAAATACGAGAAGTTTTATATTAGCAAATGAGGAAGGATTCAACAATGGAGAGAACAAAACAATATCACCAGTTTATCCCTTTTTACTCGCACAAACAAGCCCCACCCTATATGACCGCTAACTTTTGCTATTTTTATACACACACAAAAAAAAAACGAGAGTCAATCGCCTTCCTTCTTAACTCAAGATCCGGTCGTCGTCACCATCTAAAAATGGGTACTCGCACTTACCCAACATCATCACCACCATTCCAGTTCCAATCCCCATTGTTGCCCCACCAGCACCATCATGACAGGAATAATAATGCCGACGACGTCGCTGTCTCGCCCACGACGTCCGCCGCCGCCACCAATCCTCCTCGACCACCTTTTTCTGTTTCCGACGACAACCAAACAACGTCGGTTGATCAGGACGATAAGGATGAGCCTAGAAAGGGTCAAAATCTCGTGGGCGTCATTCTCATGCTACTCATCAGCGTCCCCACCGGTCTGTTTCTCGCATTTCTGTTGTCGAGTTTTGAAGAGCTGAAGGCCTACACCCCCAAAGCCGACGTCGTTTCGGCGTTCGTGTCGGTTAGCAATAGTACCAACAACAACAGCAATGGGCCTACCGCCACCGCGGGCCGAATATTAACAGCCAACTGGGCCATGGTTATCCATCTCGACAACGACGTGAGGCGTTGTTGTCAGTCGGTCCATCTCTACCGAGTTGATGCCTCGGTTTTTCATGGCGACGACGCGCTCGCATCGACCCAGCGATTTACCGGGTTTAACGCCCCAGATAAAAGACGGCAGGACCACGTCACGTTTTCGGTCCAATTGGGGGCGAAAGAAGCAGATGTCGGCGAGAGGGTGGTGTCCGCCATTTCCAGGGATTATTGGACGGAATCGGCGGAACCGAGCCGGTTACGGTTCAAGGCTGTGATTACGGTTTGGGTGCGGCTCAAACCGGATAGATTCCGTAGCCGATTCTACTTAGCGCGGATTAGTTGTGACCCGCTCTGGATCGGATCTTCTGGTATCGTTGTGGGCACGATCTCCAAGGATAACCGGGAATGCAACGTTCACGTGTAAGTAAAAAATATTTTCTATTTTTTACTGCTGAGATTTTAATATTGTTTTATCGTGGCGCGTTTGACAATAGAATATCATGTTGGTTGATCAGGATTCGAGAAAGCAAGCCAGTGTGGTTAGACAACGGTTGGGTAGCTGGCAGCTTGATTTTTGCAACTATCATTGTTTCTGCAAGTCTCTGTATCGTGGGCGCTAAGTTTGGGGTATTCTAGCGGTTGTGTCAGATGGTGACGTATGAACATATTTGATCAAAAGTAGTATTAAAATGGATGAACTCTTAAAAATTAATTACTTGTGTTACACACAAAAAAATTCTTCATACCAAGCTGTCATTGACAAGTGTACGTAGTTACGAGTATTAATCCAAAACTTTGGTATCTCTCTTTACCTTGCCTCCGCCTCCAACTTCATCCCATGTTTAATCTGGATCGACTTACAGGTTACGACATTTGAGAAATCTAGTATTTGGAGCGGGCTAAATTACACGTTTGGTCACTCAAATTATACAAAATTTTCATTTGTGCCACCCAAATTCCTTGTCTTTCTTATTCGCCACTAACTTTATGAATCGTTTCACTGTTAGTCACCGACGACCGTTACACTCTGTTAAGTTTTTCCCGTGTGGCAGTCAACTATAAAGTTTGACCGTTAACTAGATGGCGTGGAAATTAAAAAAATTGAAAAACGTTAATTTATTTTTCCACCTCATCATTCCACTTGCTTTGTCTATATGATTTATCATATTATTTATTTAATAAAAATTAATTAAAGTACAAAAATAAATTATCTGCCACATTAGCAATCTCTCGCTCCTTGTGTAGCGCCTTCGTCGTTTCCTTCTCGATCGGCTTGGCAAAGGCCTCATCTCTCTCATCGGATTTATTGGACTTCTTCGCCTTCTTGGTGATTCGAACCAAAGCCTCCTCGTCCTCTGGTTCTTCTTCTCCTGCCTCCGAATTTTCGTCGTCCTCATTGCCATACATGTACGGGTATCTCCTCCTCCTCTTGGCCATCGTCTTGGCCGTTCGTACCTCTTGCCTCACTTCTTGGCTTTCTTCCTCACTTCGAGGCCTTCAAGGATCCAGAATAGGATCTCCACGAAATCCTTGAAATAGCTGAATTCTGCCAATGCCCTAGCGTTGGGAGCGAGGGTTTTCAGGCAGTGTTCAAGAACACGCGATTTTGGGATCTTCGAGGCCTCGACGATGGGAAAACGTGGAGAGTTGGCCTGGGCGGGCTAAATGCCTAGACGCCGAAAACACGCGTGTGTACCGGAGCTGGGTGGGAGTAATCAGTCGCGCGACGTCCATGCGAGGAGATGAAGTGCTGCCTTTTTTTGTATGGTTAAGTGTTGTTGACTCGTCCTAAATATCACACTAAAAATCCCGATCAAGGCTCAAACATAAATCTTAAACGGGTGCAATATAGGAAAGTATGTTTAAATATCAACCCGGACCGGTCCATGTACCCTACTTCGATTGTTTGAAACATTATCTAGCAATTGGTTTTTGGTAAAAACTACGATTCATAACTAAAGTTTTTGGAAAAGTAAATGGTTTAAACACTAGTTGAGAGGCTTTACCCGGGTATAGCTCCCCCTATCTAGCAATTATGACTTGATGGATCGAATGCAAGTGTGTGGCATGGGTGGTTGTAAACCGTAAAAAGGTGCAACAAGTGAACAAGGGTCACTCTCTAGATATCTAGGCCAAGGAAATTCGAACTAAGCTACCAAAGTAGCTCTATTGGCCTATTGACTAAGAGTTGCAAGAACTCCTCCCTCGAAGCGATGTTCGGACGACCAAATTATAACCAACCCAAGGTGCTAATACGAAATGAGAGGTTTGCTCTAATTCAACCCAAGTAGGTGGCACCAAATGCCTAAGAAATTTCAACTCTAACAAGCCTGTTAGTGAAAAGGGGGATTTCCCTCAACCTAGGTCAAAGTAGCATAAGAATTGAAATTGCACAAGCACAACACAATCTTCCTGAAAATACCTCAAACTTGTATTAACACACACTCACGCACCAAACATTCAATCCATACAAACATTCACATAATTGTAGCTACGGTTCACAAACACTCAAGTGAAGGAAAGGACTACTCCATGCTAAGGAGAGCGAACACACAAAGGAGAAGAAAGAAAACCATCTTTGAGATGCTAGCCTTCTTCCTTGTGTAGTGGAGATCAACCTTGGAGGAAGAAATTACAAACCCTAGCTCTTGGATGAAACCCTAACTTCTCTTCTCCTCTTGGTTCGTCACTTCCTCTCTCTAGAATCTTGAAGAAGAAGTCTCTCTCGTTGTAGGCTCTCTTTTTCTTCTTTCAACTCAAGCCTCCTTTTATACCCAGATTGCAGACTTTTCACTGTCCCAGTTCACGGCCATGAACATCCGTTCTGGACCGTGAACTCGAGCAAAAACACGCCGTCTCGCTTATGATCTTCACAATCTGGGGTTGGAGTTCACGGTCGTTTTGAGTTTCAGTGAGGCGTGCGAGTCGTTCTGGAAAGTCGCCGCTTCACGGTTTGAGCCTCCTTTTCACGGTCTGGCCTCCAACCGTGAGTTGGTTTATGGTGTTTAACATTGTGCAATTGTATTATTTGATCGGGCAGGATTCAACAAAGCAAACCAAGTTCCGGAGATCGAGAGTTGAGCAAGATTGAATATGAGTAAACAAATTAGCAGTCTCGTTTCAAGACGACCTTTTTGTCAATCAAGTTTCAATCATTTTGCTAATCTCTTCTATAGATCCAAAGTGCTATCTTGATGCAGATGCCATGTACGGTACATGGCTTTTATTGTTGATTTTTTATTTTCCCATTACTTAGCTTCAGTGTTAATAATTTCTTACTTTTTATCCTAAAATTTTGTCCTATCTGACGAATTTCTCCCCGTGACAAAAATTAATGTGTTAGATATTACAAACCAAATTGAAATTAGGTTGCTTTAATGACTGTATCAATGCTTAATAAGAGCGACTGGTTTGAAGAACAATTTTGAGAATGACTGGTTTTGAGAACAATTTTGTATATATTCCCTTGCCCACGTTGTTGTTGGGCCCTCAATCTGAATTGAGGGTCGATCCTGAGTATTTGGAAATTCTGATAATTTTCTTGATAAAAAAGCTACGATCAGATGGTACTCGGGACATGATACTATGACTACCCCAAAAGGGGTTAGGTTTTTGACACCCCCTCCATCAGCTCTCCATCTGTCATTCATCTTTGGGTAAGTATTAATCAAACATTTTTTCCCGTTATTCTTTTAATAATTATGCTTTATTGGGAAAGTTCCCTATAATAAATATGTGAAAGGGAAAAGCCCTTCCGCCGTTCCCAATAGAAAGTTCTCCCTTCTTCTTAATCTTTTCTTCCTCCTGTTGTCGTCATCATCACCATCCCTCCAACTTCTTCCTCCACGCCGCCACCATCTTCTTCTTCATCATCTTCCTCTTCCTCCTGCCGCCGCCATCACCTCTCTCCGCCCTTCTTCCTCCCGCCGCCAACATCACCTCTCTTCGACCTCTTCCTCCTGTTGATGTCCTCCTCCGGCACCGTCCGTCCTCTCCATGCCGCCACCCTCCTCTCTTCATTCGCCTCCGTCTTACCGTCACCATCATCCGACGTTACTGCCACCATCCCCCGTAGTTGCGCCGCCATCCTCCCCCGCTCACGGTGAGTTTTAAATTTCCAGATCTTGATTTTCGATTTTCCAGATCTATTTTTTGTACCACTGCAATTAATTAAACTCTGATATGCTATTTGTACCACTGCACTGGTAGCGATGTTAGTGCACTGGTAGAGATATCAGTTCTAAGTTAAATTGCACTGGTAACTTACTAGTGCACCGGTACATGTATCAAATCTGAGTTTAAGTGCAGTGGTACAACTATCAGTGCACTGATAGCGATATCAGTGCACTGGTGCAAATCTCATATATGAGTTTAAATTGCAGTGGTACAAATATCAGTGCAGTGGTACAACATATAAGTATAGTGGTATAACTTTTTAATGTAGTCGTACATTTTCAGGTGCCCGTAGGAAGTACGCCGACATGATTTTCACTGGAAAAGTGTGGCGGTCGGATTAAGCTTGGTGGTCGGAGACTGCTGGAAAAGGAAGGATCGGAGATAGGAGAGCGAATTGTATTTAATGTAGGTTTAGATTTAAAAAAAGGAAATAATTAATATGGTGTATTTAATTCTTATTCTGTATTTAATAAGAGTATTAAATTCTACAAATTGTATTTAATATATCTACTTTCATTAATACTTGTCAAATAATTAATAAATAAATTGACCAATGAGAAGGGAGTGTCAAAAATACAATCCCTTCAGGGGTTAGCAAGCTGATCGGTCCCGATGGTACTCAAATGGCCAATGACCACTTAATAAACTATCAGATTATTTGAGAATGTAAAAGACATAATCATTTCCAAACACCAACTAATTCATTTTTATTTTTAGCTAGTCAGGAAAAAAGAAATCCAAACTATATAAAATCGTTTCTCCACTTGTTACTCCCCACAAAAAGCCGTGTATGGCGATTTCCAAGTATATATAACAGTTTGTTATCGCACTTGATTAACGATTCATAACCCTAATTATACACAACGCCCATCTGAAAAATGTGCTACTGCTCATCCTCCTCCTCCTCCTCGTCATCATCATCCCAATCCCGATCTCCATTGTTGCCCCAACATCACAATGACAAGTCGACATCCGCAGTCGTCGATCCCACAACCACCAAAGATCCGCCGCCGCCACCACCGCCTTCTCCGGTTCCCGACGACAGCCTACCGGCGGCGGTTGATCCGAACAACAAAACCGAATCCAAAGCTCACAGCAGTTTAGCCCCTTGGGAAGTCGCCTTGCTCCTGTTTCTCCTTACGCTCCTCTTTCTTGGTGTTCCCATCACGGATATGATATACGATCAATCGCAACCCTACTCCCCCAGAGCCGACGTCGTTTCGGCGTTCGTGTCAGTTAGCAATACTACTAGTGGGCTTACCGGCGGCACTGCGGGCCGGGTATTATCAACAACCAACTGGGTCCTTGTTCTCCATCTCGACAGCTACATCGGCGACTGTTGTCAATCGCTGCACCTCTACCGAATCCAGGCCTCACTTTTCCATGCCGACGGTGATCATCGTCCGCTCGCGTCGACCCGACGGTTCACCGGACTTAACATGGACAACGCAGCGCGTGAGGGGCGGGACGTGACGTTTTCGATTCAGTTCAGAGCGGAAGGAGGAGTACTTGATGGTACGGAACCCACGTTGCGGTTCAAAGTAGTGGTTCTGGTTTGGGCACGACTCAAACCGCAAACATTCCCTGCCCGGTACTATTTAGCGCGGATTAGTTGCGACCCGGTCTGGATCGGATCTTCTAATATAGAGATAAGCACTATCTCCTCGGATCACAAGAAATGTCACGTCCACGTGTAAGTATGAACATTCAATCCTATATTCCTTCTTTTTTGAACTAGATCATACCATTAAAAGACTATATAAGTGGAGTGGATAATAGGATTGTGTGGGGTGGGCTTGCCGTTTATGCATAAATTCACTCCACAATTAAGCAGGTGAATTTAAACGTGGCGACACATACCTAAATATATGATGCCTATGTTTGGCCCGGTTTTTAGAAGTGTTTTTCGGCTTAAAAAGTTGAAGCAGGGCCAAACACCTCTAAAAGCTCGGCTTTTGAAAAGCTGAAAAACACTTTTGTATAACATAAAAGCATAAGCTCCGATTTGGAGCTTCTGCGAAAAGCTGTTTTGAAAATACAAGATTATTCTTACCATATTTTAATTTTATTTATGAAAATATAATTTTCCTTCATTTATATAATTTTAAAAATAAAATAAATTATAAAACCATATTATTTAATATAAAAGAAATCTAACAAGATCCATTTTGACTACTTTTTATGTTTAGAATTTTTATTCATATTTTATATTATAAGTCCTTTATAGTCATTTTACACAATCGCTCATATTAAAAAACACTTCTAATAGTTTTACAGCCAAACACTAAACTACTTTTTTTGAAAAGCACTTATCTAAAAGCTCCAGCCAGAAGCTGCTTATGCAAAAACTACAACAGGGCCAAACTAAGCTGATATTGGGTGTAGTTTTGTAATGGGTTATAGGTATAATATGCCCATCTACTATGACGTTTTATCAAACATGCCCCTCTACTATATTTTACACCAAACATGCCCCTGTACTATGAAAAAATTATCAAACATGCCCTTATTTTAAAATTTTCATTGAAAAAATCGTCAATCATGGTCGAACCGAGATTTAGACGACCCGACATCGGCAAATAGGAGAGAAAATGTCAGTTTTATCTCCCGTTGTATTTCTCTCGGTGTCTTCAAAGTGAAATTATTTGGCTATACAAAAGACAAAAAAAAAAAGTGAAACTATTAGGGATATTTAAGACATTTGTGCCGCCCAAACCAAAGTTCGACCTTGGTTAACGGTTTGGATGAAAATTTAAACAATAGGGCATGTTTGATCATTTTTATAAAGTACTTGGGGCATGTTTGATGTAAAAAATAGTAGAAGGGCATGTTTGATAAAACGTCATAGTAGAGGGGCATATTATACCTATAACCCTTTTGCAATTTGACGAGGATTGGGTGCACTGGCGGAGCCAATGTTATAGAAGGTAGGGGTGGCTATACGGTCCGGTTAAATTGACCCAAATTGATCCGGTCCAGTCTGGTTTTTTTTAGAATATAAGGACCGAAGATTGGATTGGATTGGATACAGTCCGGTCTTGATCCGGTCCGGTCCCAATTCGGTCTTGATTTTATATTGAGATTGTGGTAATTTGAGTGGACTAAGGCCTAAAAGGGTGAGGAGTTGGTTAAGTTTTGTACTAAGTGTAAAGGTTTGTGACCGTTTATGCAAATTACCCTTAAGTTTTGGGTGTTGAGCTCTCTTATCTGGTCTTTATCCGGTTTTTTACCTCAAATCTAAGCCCAAAAATTGGATTGGATTGTTTACTATCCGGTCCCGGTCCGGTCTCGGTCCGGGTTATACGGTCCGGTTTCCGGTTTTTCATCCGGTCCCGGTCCAAATAGCCAGCCCTAATAGAAGGTGTATCCCAATCCGAGAGAAGTATGAATACAATTATTAAGTGTTGATAAATTTTAATCATAAGTCTTATTGATATTAGAAATATTTCTACCACCATACCATAACTAAATAATGACCTTATTTTATCATTAATTTGTATATAATACATTTTCGTTTCTATATAAATAATATTAAAACAAAATAAAACTTTATTTTTTAGGTCTCAAATTCTTAATTTTGTTCTTCTTCTTTCACAAAATCCTCCTTTTGTTGAGACTTGATAGCTTTTTATCGTAATAATGAGTCTTTGATAATGATATCTTATATTTGGAATCTCATTACCACTGAAATACCACACGAACAATTAATGAGTTATTTGACTTTACAAATACCACATTGACAATTAATCCATCCAAAGTCAAAACAACCTCTATTACATATCTTGTGAGAATAGACTGCAGGTTTTCTAGAACTAAATGTAATTTTTGAACTTTTAGTATTAAGGTCATTGACATGTATCGAAATGACATTTGCAATGAGCTACATGAAACACAACCTTCAAATTGAATGAGTAATAAAATCTTTAATAATTGTTGATTGAATATATTGAGATGGTAACATATGAATGTGTCTTGCAGATTTTGCAAACACATGAGGATACGTCGCAAGACAAAAGTCTATATTGTGCAAAAAAAAAAAATATTTTAAAATCGAATCCACCTTATATAAAATCTTGATTACGCCGCTGGTTAGGTGAATTAAGACAATTTGCATAATTCGAATCTTAATTTTTGAATTGGAAACAAATATTATTATCTTTTTAAGGAAATATTGACAATATTGTTTGGAGATATCACAAAAAGGTCATTTGGATGAGAGTTTTTAATTAATGAGAAATTTTGTCCAAATCTCTCATTTTACGAATTTTGACCAAATATCATTTTTTTATAAAATAAGAAATTCCAAGAATAGAGATATAAAAATCCCCAAATGTGGTTTCTAAAATACTTGTTCCTAACTATGATGCACAGAAGAAGAGGGTTCAAGGATTTGTCGAGTAAGCTAGATTTACTACCTTCACAACGACTTGTTCTACTGGATCCCCACCGTTGGAGTAGCAAACTATCGACCAGATTTGAAGGGGGAAAAGATGATACAATCATACGAAGAAGAAATGGACAAAACTATATATATTTTATTTTCACACTGAAATCCATGATCTATTATCGAACATGTCATTTAGGCCAAATTCCATATTCAAAATATCTGAAATTTTTAAATGAAGGATTTGAGCTCAAATTCTCATTTGCATATTACCTCATCTAAATGACTCATAATGTAAGCCTTCAATTATCATTAAATGATAATATTTGGTGAAAAATAAGATAGGTGGATAATGAAATTATGAATAGAATGAAATTGGTAGAATCAAATATTTGCATATTTGATGGTTTACCACAAATGGTTGTGGTTTGACTTTTGATGGAGTTGGCCTCAAAGCAATGCACACATGCCAGGTTAGCATGCCTACCCCAAAGAGATTGAGTTTTTGACACCCCCTCTTAATTGGTCAACTTTTTTTATTAATGATTGGCAAGTATTAATGAAAGTAAACATAATAAATGTTCTCTTATTAAATACAAATATTCTCTTATTAAATACAAGGTAAGAATTAAATACACCACATTAATTGCTTACTTTTTTTTATAATCTAAACCTATACAAAATACAATTCTCTCTCCTATCTCTAATTTTTCCTTTCCCAGCAGCCTCCGACCACCAAGCTTCCTCCGACCACCACACTTAGCCGGTGAAAATCCCGCCGACAGAATCTCTCCGGCCACCTGATATGTAGTACCACTGCACTGATACTTAGATCTGACATTTGTACTGGTGCACTGATATCGCTACCAGTGGAGTGGTATCGCTACCAATTAGGGCTGGCTATTTGGACCGGGACCGGATGAAAAACAGGAAACCGGACCGTCTAACCCGGACCGGGACCGGATAGTAAACAATCCAATCCAATCTTTGGGCTTAGATTTGAGGTAAAAAACCGGATAAAGACCGGATAAGAGAGCTCAACACCCAAAACTTAAGGGTAATTTGCATAAACGGTCACAAACCTTTACACTTAGTACAAAACTTAACCAACTCCTCACCCTTTTAGGTCTTAGGCCACTCAAATTCCCACAATCTCAATATAAAATCAAGACCGAATTGGGACCGGACTGGGTCAAGACCGGACCGGATCAAGACCGGACTGTATCCAATCCAATCTTCGGTCCTTATATTCTCAAAAAACCCGGACTGGACCGGATCAATTTGGGCCAATTTAACCGGACCGGACCGTATAGCCACCCCTACTACCAATGCACTGGTAGCACACAAATACCATATTTTGAGTATAAGTGCAGTGATATAAATATCAGTGCAGTGATACAAAAATCATATCTGAAATTTGAAAACTCACCGGGAGAAGGGCTTGGGAAGGAGTCGGTCGGAGGTTGCTGGAAAAGGAAGGATCAAAAATAGGAGAGAGAAGGATTAGAGATAGGAGAGAGAATTGCATTTTGCATAGGTTTAGATTTTAAAAAATGCAAGTAATTAATGTGTTGTATTTAATTCTTAATTTGTATTTAATAACAATATTAAATTCTACAAGTTGCATTTATTATGTCTACTTTCATTAATACTTGTCTAATGATTAATAAAAAAATTGACCAATAAAGAAGGGGTGTAAAAAAAAACCCCCTTAGAGGGTTAGCATGCTAACCGACCCCACACATGCCCACTACACTTATTCGCACCATAGTGGATTGGTTTTTATTGAGTGAATTTAGAAATGCTCGTTCTAGACTAATCCCACATTATAAGTTTAACTTTTTTCCTGCATAATACTGTGTTAATGTATTTTTATCTTATGGTTTAACACTGTATAATCATGTTATTTGGTTGAGCAGGATTCAACAAAACAAGCCGAGTTCCTTAGATGAGAGTCGAGCGAACATCAAAGACAAGAAAATAAATTAGCCGTCAAAATTGTGTCAATCAATTTTCTACATTTCATGGAGAACATTTATTGTAACTGACGGAAATAAATATTGTGTGTGTCCTATCATAAAATCGGGCTCAAACTATATTTTTTATTTTTATTTTCTGCGTAATACACTATGTATTACTGATAATGGATTTATTCTGGACTAGAGGGTATGCTTTCTTTTGGCTGTTCGTTTCTTTGGTTTTTCTTCCTCCAGCAATTCAATGCTCATGGGAAGTTAATGCAAAGGGCGAGTACGCGGCTCTCTGCAGTCTGCAAGTACCTATGGAGAAGATGATTTGATGAGCCTCATTCAAACGTATGTATGGACGGCAACTCGAACTTGCTTGCTCTGCTCTGCTTCATTGATGTGATTGAGGCAACAATTTGGGTAGAATTGTGCTTCTGCTTTCCGCTCTCTGTGCCTCACAGTTCCATTGCATTCTTTCAAATTGATCCTTTGGATTTGGTTTGTTGCCTAAAATGTAGTCCTTGGGGATATCTAGTTTAACGCTCTAACTTTTTGAAATTTTTGCTCTAAATTTACCAAACAGACTAGATTACCCCCAATTTTCTAAAGTCGCCCCCAATCCACCGACCTAATCCCTTATTTTGCTTTGCTCGTCGCCGGCGGAAGGAAAATCCATTTCTTCATCCACGCACTAATTTTCCTCGCGGAAGGCATGGCGGCGGCGCCCAAGAAATCATCATCGTCGGCCTAATTTTCCTCGCGGCAGTTGCTCCGCTTCTCATTCCATCCCGTCGACACCGCCAGGCCCTAGAAATCATCGTCGGCGCCCTAGAGCAGAGTTGAGCTCGACATGGATGGATTTTCAGAGGGCAGCAAAGGTTTTTCAAGCGTCAGTTGTAGATTTTGAAAGGGCGTCGAACAATAGAGATCGAGTTGAGGTTGGAGGTGGCTTGCGGGCATCGGGTTGTGGGTGGACGTCGACGTTGAGCATGGATCCGACTTCGAGATACGTGGCGTTCAGTGTCACGTCAGAGACCTCGAACCGCGGGCGGTAGACAAGGTAGACGATGAGGATGATCAATCCGACAAGGAAGACATTGGAAAATAATGCAAAATAAATTAACACTGAGTAAGTTTTAAATTGTGCAATATATTGTTATATTTCTCACATATCATTTGATAAACAGAGATACACGAAATATTGATGTAATGGTATAAAAGTTGAGCAAAACTATATATGCATGTGATGGTTGTGTGCTTCCCTCTCTTTCAGCCTTAAGTTATGTACCAAATGTAACACCTTGCTTTTGTTAACAAATTATGTAACACACCTTTTTATTTTCATCCTCAATCATCAACACACTCTCTGAATATCAACATCTTAACAAGGATGAAGCATGAGTCTTTGTTAACCTATGTAATACTTCTCTCAATTTTCATTCTTAATTAATACACCATTTCCCAAAGTTTTAACTTTGAAAGTCTTTATGCAAAAGTAAAAAAAAATGAATTTAACAAAATTGGCCGGCCAATGATCATATTAGCAATGAAACAAAGGATTAATTAAAGTTAGTGACTAATAAACAAATATGAGATGAATTAAATAAACTTAGTGACTAAGATGAGCTCTGTGCCAATGCTTGTTGAAAATCAATCAATTGCCCCACTTTTATCCGGAAAAGAATAGATGTTGATGTGAAGTGGAAGTTTCACCAAAGGAAATGTAACCTTTAACTTCATCGCCCACACTAAATCGTTACTAAGATGATATAATAAGGTTTTTTTTTTTAATAGATATAGTCTTCTTAATAACAAAGCAATGATCAGATGGTACTCAAATGGCCGATGACCATTCAGTAAACTATCGGATTATTTGGGAATGTAAAAGACGGAAATTTTTCCAAACAACAACTAATTACATCATATTTTTATAGCTAGTCAGGTACAAAAAATCCGAACTATACAAGATCGATTCTCCACTTTGTACTCCCCCCACAAAAATTTGTATATGATCGCCGGCTTTGGCGATTTCCAAATATAGTACAATTTGTTATCACACTTAGATTAAAGATTCAAAACCCTAGCAGCTAATACAGAGTGCCCCATCTGAAAATGTGTTACTGCTCATCCCCATCATCATCATCCCAATCCCGATCTCCATTGTTGCCCCAACATCACCACGATGACAAGTCGGCGTCGTCTGCAGTCGTCGATCTCACAACCACCAATGATCCGCAGCCGCCGCCACCGCCTTCTCCGGCTCCCGACGACAGCCTACCGGCGGCCGTTGATCCGAACAACAAAACCGAATCCGAAGTTCACAGCTGTTTAGCCGCTTTGTTGGTGTTTCTCGTTGTGCTCATCTTTATAGGCCTTCCTGCCATGTGCATAACATATGGGCAATTGCGACCTTACTCCCCCCAAGCCGACGTCGTTTCAGCCTTCGTGTCAGTTAGCAACACCAACAATAGTAGTGGGCTTACCGCCGGCACTGCGGGCCGGTTATTATTAACAACCAACTGGGTCATTGTTCTCCATCTCAAGAACTACTTCGGCGACTGTTGTCCGTCCCTGCACCTCTACCGAATCCAGGCCTCAATTTTTCACGCCGACGGTCGTCGCCCGCTCGCGTCGACCCGGCAGTTCACCACACTGAATATCGACAACGCCATGCTCGACGGGCGCGATATGACGTTTTCGATTCAATTCAAAGCAGAAGGAGTTGACGTGGTGGCTGGCATTCCCCGGGATTATGGGACGCGACCCACGTTGCGGTTCAAAGTTGTGATTCTGGTTTGGGCACGACTCAAACCGGAAGCATTCCCTGCCCGGTACTACCTAGCTCGAATTAGTTGCGACCCGTTATGGATCGGATCTTCTAATATTGGGATAAGCACGATCTCCTCAGATCACAAGGATTGTCACACCCACGTGTAAGTAGAACATTTAATCTTCCCATATTCCTTCTTTTTTACCAAATGGAATGGGTAATAGGTGGATTGTGAGTGATTTATGGACAAATTCACTCCTCTACAATTAAGCGGATGAATTTACTATTTAGACATGGTCACACACACCTAGATATATCATATTGGGTGGAGTATTGCAATTTTACGAGGGTTGGGACGTTGGGTGAACTGGCGGAGACAATGTTATAGAAGGTGGGTCCCGGTCCGAGAGAACATGCGTAAGTATAAATACAATTATTACGTGTTGATAAATTTTAATCATGAATCTTTGTGATATTCGAAATATTTCTACCGTCGTACTACAGCTAAATAGTGACCTTAGTTTATCATTAATTTATATATATAATACATTCTAGTTTCTACATAAATAATATTAAAACAACATAAAACTTTATGTGTTAGGTCTCAAATTCTTAATTTTGTTCCTCTTTTTCCACAAAATCCTCCTTTTGTTTAAACTAGATAGCTTTTTTATCCTAATAATGAGTCTCTCATTATTGATATCTTATATTTAGAATCTCGTTACCACTGAAATAATACTGAAATACCACTGGTTAGGTGGAGTAAGATAATTTGAATTGGAAACGAACACTATTAAGGAAATCTTTGACAATTTTATTTTGGAGAAATCACAAAGAGGTCATTTTGATAAGGGTTTTAAATGAAAAATTTCGTCCAAATCTATCATTTGATGAATTTGACCAAATAACATGTTTGATAAAATAAGAAATTTCAAGATTAGAGATAGGGAAAACAACTTACTCCATAAAAACTTCCAAATTTGGGTTTCTAAAATACTTGTCCCTAAATATTTGCTTCTTTTTTCTTCCAATTTTCCTTTTGATTTTATTAAAATTCTGAACTTACCGGCCCTCACCTACACATATCTAATCCTTCTTCATCTCATTCTTTCTCTCCTCCAGACGCCTCCCTCCTGTCTGTTAGTGTTGTGGTATATGATTTCGTTTGAGGGGGCGTGTTAGTGTTGTGGTATATAATCCACGATTGAACCTCTACCAACAACTCGAGTTATTGTGATCAACTGGTTCTTGACACTGTCCTGACCCTCCACCGCTTCTTCATCTCCTTATTGCTCTACTCAGACATCCTGACAAAATATAAAATTCATCCCGCCACCAGATTCATCATGATCTTAAAGATTCTACCTTGATTTCTAATAGAGGAAGAAGAAATATTATGCACAGAAGAAGAGGGTTTAAGGATTTGGTGTTTAAGCTAGTTTACTACCATCACTATCGACTTGTTCTGCTGGATCCCCACCGTTGGAGTAGCAAACTATTGACCAGATTTAGAAGGAAAAAGATGATACAATCATACAATACAAAGAAGAAATGGACAAAAATATATATATTTTTTATATTCTCTCTGAAATCCATGATCCATTACCAAACATGTCATTTGGGCAAAATATCTGAAAATTTTAATTGAGCGATTTGATTTGAGCTGAAAACTCTCGTTTTTATATTGCCTCGTCAAAACAATCCATAATGTAAGCCTTCGATTAGCATTAAAAGATAAAATTTGGTGAAAAATAAGAGGTGTAGATAATCAAATTATGAACAGAATGAAATTCATAGTAGGTCTTGGAATTTGATGGTTGACCACATCTGCTTGTGTTTTGACTTTTGATGGATTGGCCTCAAAGCAATGCGCACATGCCCACTACATTTATTCGCGCCATAATGAGTTGGTTTTTATTGAGTCAATTTAGAAATGACTCGTTCTAGAGTCTAGACTAGTCTCACATTATAATTTGAAATTTTTTTCCTGCATAATACCGTGTTAATGTATTTTTATCTTATGGCTTAACACTGTATAATCGTGTTATTTGGTTTAGCAGGATTCGACAAAGCAAGCTGAATTTCTTAGATGAAAGTCGAGCGAACATCAAAGACCAGAAAATAAATTAGCCGTCAAAATTGTGTCATTGACGAAAATAAATATTGTGTTAGTCCTATCCCAAAATCGGGCTCAAACTATGTTTTATTTTCTGCATAATACACTATGTATTACTGATAATGGATTTATTCTGGACTGAACTTTTGGGCTTTTATTTATTCGCTCTTGTTCTTTGCTGGTTACACTACTGTAGTGTTGGGCCGTTAATCTGATTCCGAACCCCACATTGCCGATAAGAAAAGAATACACCCATTGGAAGGAACAAAGGAAAACCACCCTCCTCTCATGGCTTCTTCATATGCTCTCTCCTTCCTTCCATTAACTCAATCCCCGAAGCTCTCTGCTCGGAACCCACTTCCAAACTCCCATTCATGGCGCCCGCGTCCCCATCGTTCAAACACACCATCATCCTCCTGTATATCCGCCGCTCTCGGAGATGGGCCCAATGCCACGGAGCCCATAACCGTCGAAACTCTCCACCGGTTCTTTGACCTCAGCGTTGGCAAATGGCACGGCTCCTTCTACGTGAGAATACTGGACGAGCTTTCAATTCGTTCTTCTTTGTTGCTTGCTCTGACTAGAGGGGGGTTTTTTTTGTTGGCTGTTCGTTACTTTGGGGTTTCCTTCCTCCAGCAATTCAATGCTCATGGGAAGTTGATTCAAAGGGTGAGTACGCGGCTCTCTGCAAGTACCTATGGAGAAGATGATCTGATGAGCCTCATTCAAACGTATGTATAGACGGCAACTCGAACTTGCTTTTTTCTTACATTTACTCGAGTGGCTCTGCTCTGCTCATCAATATGATTGAGGCAACAATTTGGGTTAGAATTGTGCTTCTACTTTCCGCTCTTTGTGTCTAACTGTTCCGTTGCATTCTAGCAAATTAATCCTTCAAATTTTGGTTGGTTGCTTGAAAAGTAGTCCTTGGGAGAAATCTAGTTTGGGGGAAGACACTGGGATTTGGTGGAGACATTCGGTCATAACTCATAAGTTGCTGTGTACATATTTTTTATGTTATGTCAGAGTTTCAATTATGAATCTTGCCTCCAATTGATGGAGGCTATAAGGATAATCTCAAGTGTTCAAGCGTTTGTTTGCAACGTGAACTAAATAACTAAGCAGATCGTAGTTTCACCTGTTTGCTCCTTGTTTGCTTCTCGTTGTTCATTCGCTGAGTTCTTTCTGCAGCCGTGAATATAATCTAATTGCTTCTCTGGTCATAATTTTAATCAGGCTATACATAAAACAACCTCCATTGTCAGTCTCAGACCCTGACGAAGACCCAGAATGGGCAGAATATAAGATCAAAGAGACCAATATGTTCACTGTTGACAGATATCAGCAGGTGAGTTCATTTTAGTTCTTCACAGCAAAATGCTACTGAATTAATGATTTGATAACCATGTGCTTGCAACATCTTATATTGTAGTCTATACTATTGGTGTTTCCTACTGAATGTCCATAATGATTAGTCTGCAGATCGGCTTTTTCCCCGACACAAGGGCTTTTGCCTTAAGGTACCAGACCGCTGGCATGCTGGAGACTGTTTTGAGGCAAGGTGTGTTGGGTGAAAATGACACAGGAGAAGAGTCTCCCAGGTGAAAGGATCTTGCTTTCACTCATCTCTTGCTTTACTTGCCATGACAAACAAAATAAAGCACATTGCTTTATCTAAGAGACAACTGTTTTTCTATCTGCAGGAATCTTAAGCTTCCTTCACGAAGGCCGTCTATAGTATGCGAGAATTGTTTATATTCACAAGACATAGATAGTAGGCGGGCAAGAGCCTTTCACGTTATGAACCCCGGAGGTGACCTAGATATGCTTCTTGTGTTCCTGGAAGATAGAGTGGATGGGAATCATCCTCCTCCTTCACTTGCCAATCTTGGTGTAAGTTAAAATCACTCAACTGTGAAATTCTCTGTACTGATCTAAGGATATATGGCCTTGGTTTTCTTTTTCTGACAGTAGGGTTTGGTTACATTGATTCCAGGAGAGCGCTGGTAGGGTTGAACCGTTTCTTGGTAGGTGGGAAGGTCATTCAATGACGAAGCGAAGTGGTGTTTATGGATCAACACTTACTGAAGCTGATTCTGTTTCTTCACTTGAGCTGAACGATAAGGGTCAGCTCATCCAGGTACGACCATTACTTTAAAGCACATATCCTCTTTTCCAGGATTCCTTCTCATCCAGGGGTTTGCATCATGCCATGAGAATTTAGATTGTCTGATCGTTATGGATATTTTAGACTGCTTCATTTGCTTTGCTCACCAGCTGTTGTGAGCAGGCCGGTAGTTCAAGTTTTTAAGTATCTTACATACCTATCTGAAAATTGTCATTAGGATATGACATCGAGTTCTAGAGCAAGTAACGTTGCGACCAAAGTGCATTGGAGCGGTACCCTGGTGGATAATCTGATCATATATGATGGAGGGTACCAGATAACTCTGTTGCCCGGAGGGATGTACATGGGTTGCCCTTGTGATATAGCCAAGAGCGTTGCAGAATCCAAGTCGTTTCATCTGGAGTTCTGTTGGCTTGAATCTCCTGGGAAGAGACAGAGACTGGTTAGAACGTATGACGTCGAAGGTTTGGCAGTATCATCTACGTACTTTTCCGAAACGAAAGTCTTAGGTCTTTGATTCTGGGTGTGTTTTGTGTTGGCATGTTAAGAAGCTTGACAGTGGATGTCCCTTAGAATATCTTGTGTATTGCAACACCAGTGTTCATAAGAATTAGCTCTTCTCAGATAGTAGAATTTTGTTCCCGGAGAGAATTAGCTGCAGAGAGACAAATTTGTAAGTTAAAAAATTTGTTAAGCAAAAGATTGTTCCTTTAATCCCATCTATTCCAACATCCCATCAATCTAGCGCAAAAACAATAAGCGAGAACAATACATTTCTAGCCCTACATACATGTGACAGTGAGAGCATATGGAAGATGATATTTTAATTTTATAGTAGACGTGGCTCAGGGGAAACTATTGGATTGGGTGGGATATTTTAATTTATTTATTATCTTATGACAAGTTGAGGGTTTTACTTTTTTTCATTGATGGCTACAGACAAATACACCTACCACATCAATTATCATCAATTTCTGCTCCCCACAAATACGGCTGACAAATAAATAATTAACCAAAACTATTCAGCAATCTTATTTTTGCCCATTTTTGTTTTTATAAACGCAGCGATTAAATAATAATATCCGGCCTTTATTCATCAATTAATTTGAGAATTTCAAACTTGGTATCTTCAGAATCAATATTCTTAGAATCAAATCTGAACATGAACCGATTTAACGAACAACTTGCATATTAATGGTTTAACCGGTATTAGTCACAAAAATGTGAATTATGTGACTCCGATTTAACGAACATCTCCCAATTTCCAGACGATCTTGACACCATCAACAATTTCATCTTGGCTCTTGACAAGTAATGAAAGGATCAGTGGCGTAGCCAGGATTTTATGTAAGGTGGGTTCGAATTTTTTTTAATATCCATGTGGTTCATTGAAAATTTTCTTTCAACACTTGCAGTGTACCCTTAGTTTGAGTCTAAAACCTGATTTATTGAATTCATTATTAGGATAAAAAGGATCTAGTGAGTTTCAACAAAATGAAGCTTTGGCGATAGATAATGGATACATTAAGAATTTGAAGCTTGGAGGATGAAGTTATATTTTATGCTAATATTAATTATGTAGAAACTAAAATGTATTATATATAATGATGATAGCTAAATTCATGATATAATTATTGTTTGATGGTAGAATATTGATCAATATTGATGAATTTTAGGTGAAAAAACTCATTGTCACTTAATTATTGTATTAAAGAGTGAAAAACCGTAGCGTACTAGTAGTTCGATAAGAAAAATCTCCGTAACAGTGGCGGAGGTAGTGCATATCACTCTTTAATACAATAATTAAGTGACAATGAGTTTTTTCACCTAAAATTCATCAATATTGATCAATATTCTACCATCAAACAATAATTATATCATGAATTTAGCTATCATCATTATATATAATACATTTTAGTTTCTACATAATTAATATTAGCATAAAATATAACTTCATCCTCCAAGCTTCAAATTCTTAATGTATCCATTATCTATCGCCAAAGCTTCATTTTGTTGAAACTCACTAGATCCTTTTTATCCTAATAATGAATTCAATAAATCAGGTTTTAGACTCAAACTAAGAGTACACTGCAAGTGTTGAAAGAAAATTTTCAATGAACCACATGGATATTAAAAAAAATTCGGACCCACCTTACATAAAATCCTGGCTACGCCACTGATTTCAGACAAGCGATTTATCAAAAAAAAAAAATATTTCAGACAAGCACAAGTCCAACCTTACGGTGGTGGTTTTTGAAATAAATATTGTTTTAACCCAATAAACGTCAATTTCCATGCCCATATTTACTTCGTATTCGTAATCAATTAGCGAAGAAGAAACAAAACAAGAAACCGCCTAAAATACAAAAATATAAGTAACAATCCCGACTTCCCTTCGTCTTCAACAGCGAGATATTAATTAATTAATTATATAACTACCCAAAAAATAAAAAACAACTTGCGAGTTGCAGATTGAATAGTCAACACCCGGCAAGGAAAAAGCTTCCCTTTTCCCTCATCTGAATCTCCATTCCTGAGAGAAAAGCACCCAACGATTACGCTGTCGGAACAACTCTAACTCTAAGCAAACGACTTGAGATCGGAGCAGAAGAGTAAATCAGTTGGTGGGTTTATAGCTCTAATCTGGCGGAGTTTGATGGCAGAGAAACGAGACTCTTCCGCATCAACGACGGCTTTGCCTCGGCCTACAACCATCACCCTTCCTCCTAGGCCGTCGATGGATACTTTCTTCTCCGGCGGGCTCAGCCCGGGGCCCATGACTTTGGTCTCAAGTTTCTTCAACGACAGTTACCAGGGCGGTGGAGAAGATTGCCGGTCCTTCTCCCAGCTTCTCGCTGGAGCTATGGCTTCTCCGCTTGCTAGGCCTCCCTTTTACCCTGACTTTTCTATCCAAAACCCTCCTTCCACAGCCGCCGCCGCCGGCTTGTCTTCTACACAAGATGCTGCTGCTGCTGCTGCGGCTGGAAGTGGTGGGTTTGGGTTCAAGCAGAGCAGGCCTATGAATTTAGTGGTTCCTCGATCTCCTCTATTTACGGTTCCTCCTGGGTTGAGCCCTTCTGGGTTGCTTAATTCGCCTGGGTTCTTCCCTCAGGTAATTTTTCTGCTATTCTTCTCTGGTTTTGTAGGTTGGTAGTTAATTGGGATGATTAGTTAGCTGGCATGTTCCTCTATTGTTGAGATAACTCTTGAAATAGGGCGAGTTTATCTAAAGCTTGAATCTTTCAGTTTCACAAATGAAGAATTTGGCCACCAGTTTGGACTGCTAATGGAAACTGGAGTTGTCCCCCTTTTGTTTGGAGCAATTGTACTACATTGTAGTTAGATATACTTCGTGCCTCCAAAACTTAGGAAATGTATGGTCTTTCTGTTTAACCTTTAAGAACAATGTTTCATTCTGTTCTTTTCTCCTATGTTTTCTTCGATCTTGTTGTGATTTCATGTTTCAAGTTGAGGAGTTAGAAGTTGCTAATTAGCTTAGCATGTTCTGATGCTATATAACTATATTATTTGTTTGCACAATTTAGCTTAAGATGAAATATCTTCTATCCATCATTTATTACTGGGAATAGATGGATGGGATATTTCATTATGTTTATTTCTTGTGGCTAATGTTTGTACTTGGAATATGCAGACTTCCAGACATGTGAGAACAGAAACAATGTTTGTTACATGTGAAATTAGGACTTGATTGTATCATTTACTATCTTGAACTTTTTCAGAACGTGATATGTAGAATATTCATGGACACAAAAACTCGTGTCGAGGTGTTTATATATGTTCCCCTATGTGTATGCAGAGTCCCTTTGGGATGTCACACCAACAAGCTTTGGCACAGGTGACAGCACAAGCTGCACTCGCTGCTCAATCTCAGCATATGCACATGCAAGCCCAATATCAACCTTATTCAGGGACCACTCCATTGCAAGTAGCGCCAATCCAACCATCTTATACTGCTGCTGCTGAGGATTCACAGTGGCAGATGCCACCCACAACTTCTAACCCTCAAACTACTGCGGTGGAGCCATCTTCTGAGGTTTCTCATTCGGATAGGAAATATCAGCCACCTCCTGTTGCTGCTGCTGCTACTGCTACTGCTGATAAACCTGGCGATGATGGCTATAACTGGAGAAAATATGGGCACAAGCCAATTAAGGGCAGTGAATTTCCGAGGAGCTACTACAAATGCACACACCCTAGCTGCCCTGTCAAGAAGAAAGTAGAGCGTTCCAGAGAAGGTCAGATAACTGAAATCATCTATAAAGGTCAACATAATCATGAGCTTCCTCAAACGAATAAGCGTGCCAGGGGCGACAACAGTGTTCAAAATGTGACCATCAGTTCACAGGCTAAAAGTGAACCTGTTACACAAGCTCAGCTTGGTGATACTAATAAACTTGATCAAAGAGCACCACCTTATTCCGGGGATGGTAGGGATAAAGGATCCAGTCAAATGAACTTTGCAGAACAACCTGAACCTAGTGGCTGTGGGGAAGCTGCTGGCGATTCAATAGCAATTGAACAAGATGGAGCGGATGATGCACCTAATCCAAAGAGAAGGTAACTTTTTAAGCTAAGAGGTCATTTGGATGTTGGAATCTTGAAATGAGGTATGAACGAAATATTTGGAATTTTAATGGATGGAATTTAATCCATGATAGATTTTGAAAATGTTGTTGGATGGACTACTTGAGAGAAGAAATTGTAAAATATGGGTAAAAAATTACTAAATTGATGGAATTAACAAATCTTACCTTCCAATGAGATATTTTGGAGGAGAGATTGTCCAATTCCATCAAGTTGAGATCAGTCTTTTTGGACATGCAATTGAATTAACGATTTCCTTCAGCTGATGGAATTCAAAGCCAATTTCATCACTGCACTCCCTGATCCAATTGTCCGCTTAAAGATGTCTGCATAGCTTACTCCTGTCATATGGCTACTTTTTCATGCATTTGTTAAGAAGTTTCTCATGGTGAAACTACTCAGGCAAATGGACGTGGGAACATCCGAGGTAGCTTTATCTCACAAAACAGTGACAGAGGCAAAAATCATTGTTCAGACAAGAAGTGAAGTTGATCTTTTAGATGATGGCTTCAGGTGGCGCAAGTATGGCCAGAAAGTTGTGAAAGGGAACCCTCATCCTAGGTATTTTATTGCTCTTTATCCATATTTTTCTTATCATCATGCTTCATATATGGGACATGTAGCTATCCTGTGTGTTCCTACTAGTGACTTGCGAATTCAGTCTTATGTTGACATGGGAATGCTTAAAGCTGGTTAAGGTTTTCATTATTTTCAGTTCCGGGTCCTTGTTTGTTAAGCTACTGAAGAAAATTCGCAGTCAGATGCTAACGCAAGAGATGAATTGTTTGTGAAACAGGAGCTACTACAAATGCACGAGCGCAGGATGCAATGTCCGTAAGCACGTGGAGAGAGCTGCAGCCGACCCCAAGGCCGTTATAACTACGTACGAGGGGAAGCACAATCACGACGTCCCTGCAGGGAGAAACAGTGGCGCTAATACAGCTGCACAATCGAGGCTTCAAAGCACGGCGGTTTCTCAACCCCAGCAGCAGGCTGCACCCGTTGAAGGTGTGAATTTTGTGAACAACAATAACGAGGATCAAAGACCAGTGCTTCTTAGGCTCAAAGAAGAGGAAGTTGCCGTTTAAGGTGAGGCAAGACTTGTGCCCAATACACAGTGCAGAAAGAACAC